TCTGGGCATCGAAATAATGTCACTGTATACCCAGGAACGTTCCCCCACCTCACAAACATGAGAACAAGGTATTTTAAAAGCTTCATTGTCAGATGGGATGTAACTCTTATTGTCATCAGTGCACTTAAAGAAGTGGAGATCTGATCTGAAATCATGTCCATTTCTTGTTTCAAAAGCAAGAATAGGTAGACAGATGTGTTATGTAATAATTAGATGAGGTTCTTTGTGTGTGTGTGTCCTATTAGGATAGCTGCAGAAATGCCCTGATGTCCAAGAGACAATAATTATGGACAGAATCCTCTCTCATGAGTTCCTTTGTGTTTTTATTCAAAAACAATTAGAAAATATCTTAGCTGACTTAGCTGGAAATCACATTCCATGAAGGCAGAGTATGTAGCTGCTGAGATACGGATCTCACAGATCCTAGCATAGGAAGTTATTTCCTATGTTACGTTTAAAATTGCTTATGTGATTTTTGTATTAGTAAAAAAAATTACTACTGTGCTTGAGAATAACGGTGCTGAATCAATGTATTTTTTATTTACCCTTAAAAAAAAAACATTACTGAGGCTTGAATTTAAAACCTTGCATTTGGTACGCTCGAGCTGGTATGAACAGAGGGTTTTGCAAGCTTTAATCACATCACAGTGATTGAGCTGATAATTTCCTGCAATGGATTTCTAAATAAAGACTTAACATTGAAGCTATACAAGTTTAAATGTACTGTAAGTTAGCCAAGCCACAACAAGATAACAATAAAACTGCCCAGGAAACCTAATACTTTGGAACTAAGAAAACAACAGCAACAACAAAAAGAATTAGTTGCTTGCAATATTTGAGTGAAACAAATACTTTATAAATGATATTTGTCTTCAATATAATCTTCCTGGTGAAACACTTTTGTTGTTGTTGTTGTTGGTCATGGGGCTTGAACTCTGGGCGTGGGCGCTGTCCCTGTGCCTGTCTTCAGCTCAAGGGGAGCTCTCTACCGTTTGAGCCACAGTGCCACTTTCAGTTTTCTAGTGGTTTATTGGAGATCAGTCTCACAGACTTTCCTGCCCAGGCTGGCTTTGAACTGTGATCCTCAGATCTCAGCCTCCTGAGTAGCTAGGATTACAGGCGTGAGCCACCGGTGCCCGGCTTTGGTGAAACACTTTTTAACCATATATTAAGAATATGATGAGTTTTAATATATACTCTGCTTAATTTCTAAGAACACTTTAGAAAGGTGTGATGTTTGGTTACCATCCTGTGGTCCTAAATTGGGTCATTAACATAGAAATTGTAGCACTTCTTTGAAGCCAGGTCAACAGCACTCAGTAGTTAACAGAGGGAGGAAATGATCAGAATGCTGGCAATTCATTTGTCCTGGAATACAAAAAGTACAAGGACAAATGGATGGCAACAACCCTAATTCAATATAAAGATAACAATGAAAGAAATGAAGCAAAAGTAAAAGATGAGGTAGGTGTAGTAGTGTACACCTCTAATCCCAGTTCAAGAGAGGCTGAGGAAGAAGTATTGAGAGTCTGAGCTCATTCTAGGTTACACAGTGAATCTTTCAGAAAAAGGAAGAAGAGAAAATCAAAGATAATGTTTTTAGCTGAAAGAATTTTGAAGCTATATTTAATGTAGCTTTTTCCCCCTCTCCTGTGACTAATAATTGCTACAGAAGAAAGCTATGTTTTGAGCTGAGGTTACTGTTAGCCAAATGAAAATGTATAAAATACAGACCTATGTATTCTTTGAAGGCTTTTGAAAGGTTGGAAACAAGAGTTTTAAGAAGAGCACCGTGGAGCAATTGCTGGTATTTTATGTACTTATGCACAACTGCGTGGTTATGTATTATTTTTGTACGTTTAGAAGTGAGTACAAAGGAGTTCCATTGACCATCTTTGGAAGACAGTACCTTTGGGAATGTGATTCTTTTCCCAACCTCTGTATGGGTCCTATTTCTGATCTTTGCAATTTTTTTTTTTTTTTTTTTACAGTCATGGAGTTTGAGCTCACGGACTTGAGCTTACTAGGCAGGTGCTCTAACACCATATCCTCATGTCTTTCTGTTGTATGAGCCAACACTGGATGCTTACCTCAACGGAATAAGGGTTTCTAATTTGCTAATTTTAATTTTTAAAATTCTCAAACACAGGGGCTGGGAAGGTGGCTCAGTGGTAGAGCGCTTGCCTTGCATGCATGAGGCTCTGGGTTCAATTCCTCAGCACCACATAAGCACACAAAGCTGGAAGTGGCGCTGTGGCTCAAGTGGTAGAGCGCTAGCCTTGAGCTGAAGAGCTGAGGGACAGCACCCAAGCCCAGAGTTCAGGCTCCACGACCGGACCCCCCGCCCCCCCCCCCCAAAAAATAATTCTCAAACACATATAGCTCATTATGGAGATAAAGCAGATTTTGGAATTTCTAGGACAGAACTAATAGCAAATATTTCTTTAATCACATTGTCAGATCATGCAACTTACATCTGATTAATATGTTCAGCTTACCTATTTGACCTCTGCCTTCAGTTGTTAAAAACTTTAATATGAATTATATATAAAATCTGAGTAACCAAATTATTTTATATATTATATAACTACTTTCAAATGTGATTTTATTATCAAAAGCACAATTCCCATTTTTGTTTTCCTTAACTTTTCTTCAATTCTTTTTTTTGTCAGTTATTGGCCTGAATTCTGGGCCTGGGCGCTATCCCTCAGCTCTTCAGCTCAAGGCTAGCGCTCTACCACTTGAGCCACAGCGCCACTTCTGGCTTTTTCTGTTTATGTGGTGCTGAGGAATTGAACCCAGGGCCTCATGCATGCAAGGCAAGCGCTCTACCACTGAGCCACCTTCCCAGCCCCCCTTTCTTCAATTCTTATTGTCCTTCCTTTAGAAATTTAGGGTTCTAGGAATCTAGGAAGTTTGTCTTTTCCAACAGATGTTTATTTTCCCTTGTTTCCTGAAACATGTCGTTTTATGCTTTCCAGCTTTCTCACTTTCCCAATCTTAGTCTACCTTTTTTCGTTTTCTTTTTTTTTTTCCTCCTTCTCTCTAATAAGATAGGATTTTATTGCATTGCCCAGTTTGGCCCGAATTGTCCAGCTTAAAGGATCTTCCTGCCCCAGCCTCCCAAAAAGCAACTGGAACTACAGTTATGTGCCATTTCTCAGGCTGTCTACTCTTCTATAGGATGCTTGAGTTACACAGATTTCTTAAAGGCTTAGGGATATTTGAGTGCATATGCATCTCTGCTTAGTTCTAGAGGAATGCTTTCAGACTGTTTCCAAGACTTAATCAATTCAGTTTCTTGCCCAAAGCTATGTATTTTCCTTTAATTCTCATGGATTTGACTTTCTCTGCTTGATACTTGACTTTTTATTAAATTTCTGTTCATGTTGCATCTTCTAGTTAGCCTGCAGTCATTAAGGAGATGCAGCTATTTTTTTCTCCTTTTTAATTTACTCCTAAGGGGACAACAATGAACTCAACACTTGCAAATGTTGGGTAGAAAGGAACTGTTGCTGCAATTTCAATGCTAAGCAACTAGCCTGTGGTGGTGGTACAAGCCAGCAACAGCTAGGTAAGAGGAAGAGGGTGATCAACAGTTCAATACTACACAAACAGCGTTCGTGTTTAGTTGTGCATAATCTATATGTTCCTTTTTTCCTTCTGGCTTTTGGATCTCATAAGCCTCATTCAAAAAAACATTATGTTAACTTATTGTGTGCGTGTGCCAGTTTGAGAGCTTGAGCTCCGTCCCTGAAGCTCTTGCTTGACTTTTCTCCACTGAAGGCTGGCCAGTTGAGCCATCCCTCCACTTCTGGCTTTTTTTCTTTTCTTTTTTTTGGCTGGTTCATTGGAGCTAAGAATTTTTGAACGCTTATTCTCAGATCTCGGCATCATGAGCAGCTAGGATTACAGGCCTGAGCCACTAGTGTCTGGCTATATTAAAAATAAGTAATAAAGGGTGACACTGATGTATTCATAAACTTGTTAAATGGAAACTTCTTTTTAGAACTACTGAGTAAAAAAAAAAATCAAGGCGGAATTGGAATATGGCAAAAGCAGGTTTACAGGAAAGGGGGAACTGACAGATACGCTCACAAGATTATCGCTCTGTACGGTGCAGACTCGAGCCAGGTGAACCTATCCAAATCCCCCCAGCCCCAGGTCATGGTTCGAAAGGGGGCGGGCAGTTCTGGCGATGGACGAGGGAGAACTCAGGGATAAGCACTCTCCAACACCCCAGACACAACAGCACTGGCCAAGGAACTGATCGGCACGAGAAGGGAGGACACACACTGGTTGCACTGCTATCTGTTCGGAACGAGAGGAATCGATCATCCCAGGCCCTCGGCTCCACCGCTATAAACGCAGAAGGGCCTCGGGTCGGTCTCCCGCTACCCAGCGCCCCGGGCCCGCCGCCGGCTTCGAGGTGGACATGGCGGCCCGGCGCGCCCGTCCTCTCGGCCGCCCCTTCACCGCCCGGTTTCCCGCGGCCGCTAGGGACAAACCCAGGCTCAAGTGTGACCCTTTTGTAGCCGAGTCCGGGCCCCAGCCCCGCGGTCCGGCACCTGGGCGGGAAGAAGGAAGGAGAGCGCCGCCGCCGCCGCGCACAGCCGCCGCCTCCGCCCGCGCGCCGCACCTGGGCGCCCGGCCGTGACGTCACGACACCTGGCGCCAGCCGAGGGGGCGGGGTCGGGAGGACGAGGGAGTTCTCGCGAGAGCTTCCTCCGTTCCCCGCGCCCGGGCCCAGCTCTCCGCACCGTCGGGGCTGGAGCCGCGTCGGACCTGGGCGTCGCGTTCCGTGGGAGCGGCGAGGGCCGAGCTCCGGGGTGGGCGCGGACGGCCGGAGCGCAGCCGCGGGGCTCGAGGCCCCCCCGCAAGCGACTCCGCCGGCGGCGGCGTGCGGGCGTGCGGGCGGGGCGTCCCGCCGCCGTGGCTCCGGCGGAGGCCGAGCGCGGGGAGCCGCGGCCGCGTCGTCGGCCGGGCCCGGCCGGGGGGCGTCGCGGGCGGATGGAGGCCCCTCCTCGCCCCGCCTGATCGGGAGGGGCGGGCGCAGCGCAGCGCGGGGCCCGCCTCCCGCCCAGGAGCCTCGGGAGGAGCGGCGGGCGCCGGGCAGGTCCCCGCCGGAGCCCCAGCATGGGTAAGACTCTCGGGGTGCGGCGCGGGCCGGGGGTCCGGGTCCCGCCGGGAGGCCGAGGCCTCCGTGAGGGTGGGCCGAGGGCCCGCGGGGTCACGGCCTCCGTGGGGGTCGGGGATCGCCGCCCTGCCTTCCACCTGGCTCTTCGGGCGGAGCGAGGGCTCGGGGCGCCTCGTCCCGCCGTGTCCGGCCGGGCTCTCGGGGAACGTCGGAGGGGGGCGCCCGGGCGCCAGTCCTCCCCCCCCCCCCCGTCCCCCCAGCTCCGCGCCCCACGGCCGGGCTGGAAGTCCGTCCCGAGCCGCCCTCCCGGGCCACCGCGCAGCTTACCCCCGAAGCACGGGTCCGCGGGGCAGCGGGGGGCGTCGCGGAGCTGGAGCTTTCCCGGGCGTGGGATCGCGTTTGCAGCTGTGCACACGCGCGCGAGGCGGGGAGCGACTGCGCCCCCCTCCCCCGACCTCCCCGCAATCGCCGGGGATGTTGGGCCGGACGGCGAAGTCCGGGTATTCGCGGGCCCCGCTTTCGCCGGGGCCGTACGCGGGCCCGGGGCGTTTCGACCTTCCCCGGGAGGAGGTTGGCGCCTGGGAGGACTCAGCGTGGCACGCTCGGGGGAGCAGCTTCCTGTTTGGAGTTAGACTTCCTCGCTGAGAAAAAGTACCAGGCCCTTTGATCACATTGTTTTCTGGGAGCTTTGCGAAGTCCGGGGTCGGGGAGAGCGGCCTCGCCCCCTCGCAGCTCGGTCTGAAAAGGAGTCTTGTTCAGTGAGTTGCGCCCGGGCAGCGACTCCCTCCATAGGGAAACGCAACTTGGAAGAAAGGACAGATTTCTTTTTTTTTTTTTTAAATCCCCTTCCCTCAATCAGATTCGTGCCACCTTGTAAGGCAGCAGATGTTGGCTAGGAGCAGCACCAAGGCTGGTTTTGTGGAGCAGATCAGGGAAGACGCTATCACCTCTTCCAGTGGAAAGTTGGCACCGCTTCCTGTCAACAGACCATTACTAAAATTAATAATTCATGAAACGGACAAAAATAATTGAGTGTCGCCACACATGCGGAGTACTGCTGATGTGGCACCGCTGCCCACACTGCCGCGGGGGGGGGGATGCTGTGAGCATAGTATTTAGACACACTCGCCCAGCTATTCTGTTTTCTTAGACCTTCTAATTTTATGTTCTCCGTTCCTCCTACTTTCAGGTACTTTTTATATGCACAGTGCTTTTGAACTCGGAGTAGATAAAGTATCTGCCCTCTGGAACATTAAAATGTATTTTTCCCCCCCAGTTGATTGAGCTTATAGGGTAATCGTGGGTCTGTTCCTTTACGCATCAAATTTTAAAGTGTCTTTAACTAGTTTATGTGAAAATGTTTCCAAAAGTAAACACACATTTTGTCTCTCAAATACAGCACAGAATGTAATTAAACTCTTGGTGACCTCGAGTCATAATTTATAACATGCCATAGCCTTGGTGCCTTGGGCATCGGTTGGATTGTGTCTAGGACTGTTATTCCTATTGCAGAATAACATTTCTTGGCATTCTGAAGTTACCTTTAACTACAAGCTGGTATCTCCCCCCTGCCCCACTTTCCTATTGGATGTGCTTATAACTGTAATTATTGTCTACCATCACCACCTATTTTGAAATGTGGAAATCATATTTACATTTGTGATTCTGTGTAGAGGAAAAACCAGTAAACAATTAGATGAATGCCAACTCTCGGTCTTTGTAATCTCCTTTTCGTTGGCAAGAGGCTTTTTCTTAGTGAGTTGTTTTGCTCTGTTTAGGTAAGTTGCCAGATAGTTTTTGTTGGCATACTGTCAACTTGACTGTCTAAAAATGTAATTTTGAAGGTTTGTTTCATGGTGTGTTTGTGAAACATTTCCAATAGATACATACTTTAAATTTACTTTAAATTAAAATTTATTTTAAATTATTTTAAAATTCTCAAGTTTCATTTTTTTGGTTTTGTTGTTAGCTACTTTCTGTACATTTTGAGTCTGATAAAAATGTTTAATTTACTGATGTTGTGTAAAGAAATGTTAGGTGTCAGGGAATGAATACTGGCAGACAAAGAGGTGAGATGACTTGATTTTGGTGAATAGGGCTGGGTTGCAGGTCTGTTCCCTAGGTTAACTGGAGACACTCCAGTGAGTTTCTAGTGGTTGTATTCAGAAAAGAATGATGCAAATACAACTTTACAATGGGTAATCCTTACTGTGGTTCTTTGACTTTCTTGACAGTAGAAAACAAAACCTACTACAGATTGAGCACACAGTTTAGGGACCAAGTAACATCAGTAGTTAGGCAGTGTTTCTAGATAAGACAAAGAGAAGGCTAGTCCGGCAAATCTGGGTGGAGGTTCATACCTGCCCCACCTCTAGTCAACGTTAGGCAGTATGTGTAGCAAAATGTAGTGTGTAGATACAAGTGGAGCATGTCAGTGGTGTGGGAGTGAGATTGTGGTGAGGAGGTCCAGACTAGCATCCTGGGGCGAAAAGAGAGGGAATGGCATCTGGCAATTGGCCTCAAAGACCTAACCAGGGAAACAACCCCAGACAGGGTCTAGGACTTTTATGAGGGATATAGAGTAGGGTTCTCTCCCGCCCCTCCCTTCCCCCAGGGATCATGAGATCCTGAGTTTGGTTATTGAAAGTATTGAGGATGAGCCAAGCAGTAATGCTAACAGGATTCTGAGCCCCTCATCCATGGACCTCATTGGTCAACATGTGGTGAACTAGTCAACATTAGTAGCTGAATATATAAGTGATCCTGAATAACTTTGGGTTTTAATGGGGGTAGTCTGTCTCTCAAATAATCGAGAACATTTCTTTTAACCTCTCTTTTGTTTGGTCCTAGGATTTAATACGCTTGCTTTTCTTTTGCTGCCATCTTTTTCAGATTGCTTCCTTTTCTTTCAGGCTGGAAGTATGAGACAGTGGAAGCCTAATCTAGTATCTACAGTGCTTTACCAGTGCCACTTAGCGCAGGGTGTGTAGCATCTAATTACTAGGGCTTTCCAGTAGAGAGATAGTTTTGAGTATAGTTATAGTAACAGTTAACCACCAATATTAAAAGGTTTTGGGGCCAGGGTTGTAGCTCTGTTGTATGTAGCTTCGTGGTGTAGAGCCCTTTAGCATTCATGAGACTCCAGCAGGAAGGTGTATCAAGAAGGGAAGGAGTTGCTGATTAGAGATTAATGAACTTTTTTTTTAATGAAAATTTCTCAGAATCCTTGATTCTGATAAAAATACTTCTCTTTCTTTTGTTACTGTTGGATGTCACAAATCTGTTGGGATGGCTTATTCATGTGATAGGAATAAGATAACGTAAAACTTAGCATGTGACTGTTACAAATCCACATGTGAGAGGGAATGTAATATCTAAGTTCATGTGAATATTAGAAAGGTTGGAGTATAGCAGAAGCATAAAGAAGATCAGAATATAAATTCTTGCATTGGAAGGAAATAAATTTACTTTTCTCAGCAGTTTGACTGTGATGATATGGGAGGTAATTGGTAGTTGTAATTGTCAGCTTTCTGTTGCTGTGGCAAAAATACCTGAGATCATAACTTGAAGAGAGGAGAGATTTGTTTGGGGTCATGGTTTCACAGACTTCATGGTCTCTTGGCCCTTGCTTCTGGTGTAAGGGCATGACATGGTGACCTAAGTTCTTTAATTAGGTCACCTGCCTGTAGAGACACAGGCTGGGGATGTAGACCTTTTGGGGGCAGTCGGGATTCAAACTCTAGCAACAATAGCCATGGTACTTTTCCTTTCCTGGCAAAGAGTTGTTGGACTGAAGCAGCCCTTCCCTTGAGACTAAGATGCTTTCTGCAGAGACATCATAACCGTCTTACTACTGCTTTCAGCATCCCAACAGTGCTTCAGTATAGAGGATGTCAGAACTTTACCTAACATTTAAACTGATTTTAACTATGAGAGTGTACCAAAATGTTTTGGATATCAAGTATAGAAGTTAATGTTTGTAAAATCGAAGTCACATAGTCCTGGCTAACATAAAGAATGTCTTGCATTCGGATCATTTTTTTTTTTTTTTTTGGTCAGTTGTGGGGTGTTCAGCCTGAGCACTGTCCCTCAGATCTTCAGCTCAAGGCGAGCACTCTACCGCTTGAGCCACAGTACCATTTCCAGTTTTCTGGTGGTTAATTGGAGATAAGAGTATCATGGACTTTCCTGGCTGGCTTTGAACCTCGATCCTCAGATCTCAGCTTCATGAGTAGCTAGGATTACAGGTGTGAGCCACTAGTGCATGGCTTCGTTCTTTTTTAATCTGCCATTATTTTACACTTTCCACATAATAACTACAGTTCTGTTGGTAATATTTGGACTTAACTTCAGCAAATGTTTCTTGACATCTTTGTCTATATTAACACACATTCAAAATAGTGGAGAGAATGAGTCATGTGTAACAGGTGTTGTTGGTCTGCTTTGGTGTGCCCTACTTTTTTTTTGTCCATTTTCTCCTCCAGTCTGTAACTTACTTTAATTTACTTATTGTGTTTATAGTATATTTCAATATTTCCTTCTTTCTCTCTCTATTTTGCTATCTGACCCAGAGCCTCCTGCATGCTAGGCAAACTTTTTACCACCGAGGTATATCCTCAGCCTCCTTAATATTTACTTATGACTCACTCTGGTTAGAGTATAAATTCCAAGAGTACAGAAAACTTTGATTTTTCATAGCTGCATTTCCCAGTGTACTTAGAATAGTAAGTGTATTCTAGGAGCAATTACTTACATATTTGCTGAGCATGTTGATGTTTGTTTTTTATATTGGAAAACTAAATGGAAATTAAAGTTGACAATCTTAAAATATGAATTAAAAATGTATGCAATAATATCTTTTAGTTCAGTGCTAGAAAAAGCTGTTGATTTTGTGCTGTATATCAGGCATTGTGCTAGAGCTTAGGAATATAATTATGAAGTATGATTTCAGCTCAATAGTTGGGCAGTATTTTGTTTTTCAAATATATATACGTATATATACATACATCTATCCTTTTTTCTGGCCCTGGCCTTGAACTCTGAGCTGGGCCCTAGTCCTCAGTTCTTGTGCCCAAGGCTAGCACGCTACCACTGGAGTCACTGCTATCCTTCATTTTTTTGTTGTTGTTTGTGTGTTTTTTGTTTTTTGTTTTTGGGTCCGGTCATGGACCTGAACTCTGGGCCTGGGTGCTGTCCCTCAGCTCTTCAGCTCAAGGCTAGCGCTCTACCACTTGAGCCACAGCGCCACTTCGGGTTTTTTCTTTTTGCTTATGTGGTGCTGAGGAATCGAACCCAGGGCCTCAGGCATGCAAGGCAAGCGCTCTACCACCTTCCCAGCCCACAGTTTTTTGATTATAAGAATACACATACTTTTTGGAGAAGAAATATATTTTTCATGACTGTTTAGAAACATGGAAAAATTCAGATGACTATTTGAAATTTTTTTTTTTTTTGGCGATTCTTGACATCTGTAGTTTTTTCCATTTTGCAATCGTCTGTTAAAATGTTATTTTTAAAAGTCTACTGAAAAATGGAGTGGACTTTTATAGCAACTTCCTACTTTTTGGTAAGTTTGAAATTTCCTTGCAGTTGATATTTTGCTTAGCTGGTGTTTTGCTGATGATTAGCATTTAGAGAATGCTTACTATGCTAGGCATTGCATTGAGCATTTAATTCCCACGAGTGTTATGACATAAAATATTATTGTTTCCATTCTTTAGAAACAGGAATTGAAGTTACAGAGAGATTGTTGCTCACAAGATGACTGGGTATAGAGACAGGATTAGACTCATATTGGTCTGCTAAAACATTTTGAGTTAAGCAGAGCAAGTAACAAGAATTAAAAGAACTATTTCAGTGTGTAAAACAAAGAAATTTAACTGGGGCTGTCACAAACCTGCCTGCAACCCCACTAGTCAGGGATGGGGGGGGGAGGGGAGGGGAGGGGAACAGGCTACCCAGTGAGGCAGCCAACCTAAAGGAATGACAGCAAGGCACTTGAAACATTTACCACCTAGAAAATGTAGCTCGTAATTTTACATTGTTGGTAGGTTTGAGCAACTATTTCTCCTAAAGGTACTTTCAGAGATGTGATTTCTGTCTCAAGTGGTAGATTGCCTACACTGATTCAAATCCCCAAACCACCAAAAATGAAAACAAAAAAAGTGCTTTCACCAAAGGTTAATTGTGTTATACATTGTGCTTATGTGTATATAGTCAGTAATTCTTCATAGGATTCTTTTGTGTGTGTATGAGCTCTGTACAACTTTGTGATGATTATTCACGCGGTACTTATTTGGTCAGACTTGAAACATGCCTTACACAAGTTTCTTTTTCTTTTTTTTTTTTGTCGGTTATGGGGCCTGAACTTGGCCTCGGTGCTGACCCTCAGCTCTTCAGCTCGAAGCTAGGGCTCTACCACTTGAGCCATAGCGCCGCTTCTGGCTTTTTCTGCTTATGTGATGCTGAGGAATCGCACCCAGTGGCTCATGCCTGCAAGGCAAAGCACTCTACCACTGAGCCACCTTCCCAGCCCACAAGTTTCTATGCTTCCTTGAAATTAATATTGGAAATAAAAATGAGAGGAACATGGAATATTGGAAGAGCATATTAGAATATTGAAACATTCCAATTTGTGTGCCTTTTAGATGGATTTTGGATGCTTTTAGGATTTTGGTAAAAGGTACTAGGTACATGGAAATGGTGATTTTTCTTTTTCTTATTTTTTCTAAATCTGAAATGGTAAGCTATCAGTTGTGCCATTAATTTTTTTTTTTAATTTTGAGGCTATATTTTTTGTCACCTTTGATCTAATTCTGTAACATTTTCTTTTCCTTTATCTCTCCCACCCCCACTCTTTTTTTGTTTTTAAACAAAGTCTGTCTGTGTAGCATGGGCAGGCTTCAACTTACCATCTTCCTGCTTCCAAGTGTTGGGATTACAGGCATTTGCCACTATGCTTGCTGTGATTTTGTTATTAATTGAGTATATATTAGAGCAGAGCAGTAGAAGTTTGATGTTAGCAATAGTATTCTTGGGTACAGTAATTCTAAAAAGTTCTAGATTCTAAGGTTTCCCATCTCCCCTTGTGTCTGTATTGCCGTGTTGCCCAGGTTTGTCTTGACTTTGTGGGCTCAAGGGATCCTTCTGAGTGGCTAGGGCTCCAGGTGCATGTCATTGTGCTTTTCCCCTTTGAAATATGTTCTCAGTGTGGAAGCCAGGCTGGCTTGGAACCTGTGATAGGCCTGTGTCCTGTGACTGGGATGAAAAGTATGAACTGCTTTACTAGGTCTACAGTTTTTAGATTCTTATTAAAAGCATGATTTTATTTTTATTTTTTTAATTTTATTTTTATCTTTAGCTGTACAAAGGAGTTGCCATTCAGTAAATAGTATATGGATACAATAACTCTTGATCAGTGTCACTTCCTTTATTATTCCTCCCCAGCCCCTCCTTCCCAGCCCCATTAAGCTTGAGTTTTAAACAGTACTGGTTTTTCAACAATACGTCATAAAGCCTTACTTTGAGTCCTTGACACCCTCACCCTTGACATAAAAGGTACCCACACACTTCAATTAACAGAAAAGTAAAATCTCACCGTAACCTCTACCAGAACCTTATTAAGGAGAAACCCTCCTTCCTCCCTCCCCTCTCCTTCTTCTCTTCTACCTTTCTTTCTCTCTCTTTCCCTTTCTCTTCCTTCCCTCCCTCTTCTTTCCATTATTTTGGTACGTCGTCTTAGTTTGTTGGGCCTGCTATGACAAAATATCATAGGACTGGTTAATTTACAGGCAGATACTTATTACTTATAGTTATGTACGCTGCTAGGAAATCCCGGATCAAGGTGTAAAGCAGAATTGGTGTCTACTTCAGAGATGGACACTCATCCACTCATGAAAAGTAGAGCCTTGTGATCAAATCACCTCCTCTTTGTCCCACCTCTTAATACTTAAAGTTGGGCATCATGCATTTTGGTAGAACACATTCTGACCATAGCAACTTTCCGTTCTTCTCTTCGTGTGTGTGTGTGTGTGTGTGTGTGTGTGTGTGTGTGTGTACTTTTTCCTTCTACTAGAATTTATAGGATATGTGAGGTAAAAGTCGCTATGTAGCATGCTCCTCTCATTATATATGGTTTCAAGTTTGATGTTTTAGGCCAGTTAATTCATGGGGCTGGGAAATTGTAGCCTTTTTTGTTTGTTTTGTTTTGTGGCTTGAACTCACTGTCCCTGAGCTCTTTTGCTCAAGGCTCTAGCACTCTACCACTTTGAGCCACAGCTCCACTTTCAGTTTTCTGGTGGTTGATTGGAGATAAGAGTCTCATGGACTTTTCCTGTCCTGGCTGACTTTGGTAGCAGTCCTCCTAACTCAGCCTCCTGAGTGGCTAGGATTACAGCCACCAGCGCCCAGCTTCCGATTTGAGGTACTCAAGGGATATTTTTAGTGCTAGGCATAAGGTGCCATCATGTACCTCAGCTAGATAAAGGCTGTTATCTGATAATCTGTGCTTGGTCTTTGTTACTTATTATCTAGTTATACATTTGAATTCTCCTTTTTGTTTAGAACTCAAAATGGTACAATTTATTTTGAGGAATGTTTTTCTTAGCCCTGCTTTGACGAATTTGTGGTATTTTTCCTGGATTATTGATCTAATGATATATAAATTTAGATTTGTAGCTTTATAATATATCAGAGAATCAGCCTGGAGCATTTCTTTTTAGAATGTTGAATTGGCAAACCTCTTTGTGTATTTTGTAATCTCTTGTGGCTCTTTTTGTTTTTCATTGCTCATCCTGATAGGTTCCTTTAAAGTAGTCAATTGTTTGCCATACTTTGGAAGTGGGTTACTGAATAAGCTAACCACACAAATGCTATGGATGTTTGTAGATAGCTTAAAAGAATTTATGACGTAGGCAACCATAAATTTTACTATTTGGTTAGCCGTCATTTACAGGCTATACATACTCTAGATTTGAGAGTTACATGGGAATGTGAATACAGGAGTGGAAGATGAGGAGTATTGGGGTTCTACTTTATAGTATTAAAAGTCTGCCAGCGCTGGTAAAAGTCTGCCAGGCACCAGTGGCTCACGCCTGTAATCCTAGCTACTCAGGAGGCTGAGATCTGAGGATCATGGTTCAAAGCCAGCCCAGGCAGGAAAGTCCCTGAGACTCTTAACTCCAATAAACTGCTAGAAAGCCGGAAGTGGCCTGTGGCGCCTGTGGCTCAAGCAGTAGAGCGCTCACCTTGAGCTGAAGAGTGCAGGGAACAGCGCCCAAGCCCAGAGTTCAAGCCCCATGACTGACAAAATAAATAAGTAAATAAAAATAAAAGCCTGTGCTTTCTACCTAAAAGACCTATGTAATACCTAAACAAGATGATCAATATCTGAAGTAGCCAAATAATTATAATTATGGTTAAAATTTAAAATCATTGAGATAAGCTTCTGTGTCTTTCTATTATTAATTCTTGTTGGTAACCAGATTCTTCAGTTTTATTGATACGGTTTATGGTATTTTGTACATTAGATTTGTTGGGGGGGGGCTGTGTACGCACGCACACTTGTGTGTACATGCATGTGCTGGTCCTACAGTTTGAACTTGGGGCTTAAGCCCTGTCTGTGAGCTTTTCTAGCTCAAGGCTAGCATTCTACCTCTTGAGCCGCTCCTCCACTTTGGCTTTCTGGTGGCTTATTGGAGTAAGAGTCTCATGGACTTCCTTGCTCAGGATTGGTTCCAGCTGCCATTCTCATATCTTAGCCTTCTGAGTAGCTGGGATTCAAGCATGAATCACCAGCGCCTGACTTGTATGTTAAATTGTAGACATTTTTTCTCTTTCCTTAGTTGACTATATTGTGGAGTATGACTATGATGCCATACATGATGATGAATTAACTATTCGGGTTGGGGAGATCATCAGGAATGTGAAAAAGCTCCAGGAGGAAGGATGGCTGGAAGGAGAACTAAATGGGAGAAGAGGAATGTTCCCTGATAATTTTGTGAAGGTTAGTATTTTCAGTTTGATTTCTACCTCTTGCTTTACAGGATTTATTTTTTAAGTAGTAAGAAATAAATACAGCTATGGGCAATTTTATTGCTTTGTGTCCTGCTTGACAATAACTTGTGTGCACATCTTTGTGCTGGTATGTGTATATATGGACATATCTGTCTACTTTCCTTTTCTCTTTTGTGGTACTGGTGATTGAACTTAGGTCTTCTAGCTTGCTACTCAACCACTCTACCACTTGAGCCATATTCCCAGTTAAAAGTATGTAATTGGGTTGGGAAGGTGGCTCAGTGGTAGAGCGCTTGACTTGCATGCATGAGGCCCTGGGTTCGATTCCTCAGCACCACATAAGCTAAAAGAAAAAAGCCGGAAGTGGCGTTGTGGCTCAAGTGGTAGAGTGCTAGCCTTGAGCTGAAGAGCTGAGGAACAGTGCCCAGGTCCAGAGTTCAGGCCCCACGACTGGACCCCCCCCCCCCAAAAAAAAAAGGTATGTAATTGTATGGCACTTCTTTTTTAAAAAAATTATTTATTTTATTGTGAGAATGCCATACAGAGGAGTTAGAATTACATGGGCAAAGTATGGCACTTCTTAACTAATAAAATGATAATCTGAAGTCCAAGATGCTTCATGGTTTCTCATTGTATTTTGTTGCTTTTCTAGCTTGCTCAGAGGTATTGGATCATGCTTTTTGACTTGTACTGTTGCAATAGTTATCTGCCAAAGTAACTATTATTCTTTATTACTAAATTTTCTTTTTTAGTTTAGGAAACAATCTTCAGCTTGTTGAATTTATTACAAATGAATAATCAGAAGTTTAGAAAATAAGGAGGAGGAGAGTTAGTGATGTCTTTACAGATTGCTTACAGTGGTCTTGTTTGCTGTATATTTGTTTTTTTATATCTAGCCTCATCGGATTATGATTATGAATGTTTAGAAGGCTCAGAGTGTGTCTCTCATTTGTTTTTCCAACTTGCATAGTAGTAGTTAGTTGAATATTTGCACAGCAAGCATGCTAGTTAATGTTTGTTTTCTAAATTATTTGTTTTTTTGTAGCTGTGGTTTTACCACCAAGTGTGGTAATAGCTGATTTCAGGGAAGGTGAAGTAACTGCACTTTCAACAAATAGAAACAATTTTCATATCAAATTGTGTGAAGTAGGACTCTGATTGTACTCCCTGTCCCTTCCATGTGGAACATGGTTTTCCAGGTTTTAAGATGCCATATTTTCTTACCTTTTTTTTTTTTTTTTTTAAGAGGCTTACAGTCTAGAAATGCTAGCTAAAGATTTTATAGATGGTTAGGGTCTGAGCACTGTCCCTGAGCTTTTTTGCTCAAGGCTAGTGCCACTTTGAACCACAGTGCTACTTCCCATTTTCTGGTGGTTAATTGGAGATCAACATTTTGTGGACTTACCTGCCTGTGCTGTCTTTGAACCGTGATCCTCAGATCTCAGCTTCCTGAGTGCTTGGATTACAGGCAGGAGCCACTGGCATCTGGCTTGAACATTAAGATTTTAGCATTCTCAAAAATAAAGTTTTACTGAAACATATCTGTGTTCAAACACATTCATAGTACACTTGACAGAATAGATTTAGAATGTAGTTGCCTTATTGGTTGTCCATCTGAAGATTTGTTTTGTGTGTTGAAGTAAAGGCTGGGCAGATTTTCAGACAGACTTTCCTTTCTCAATCTCTAGTTCCAATAAGACCAACTCAGTGGTGATTGTCCGAGTGAGCTGTATTCTTCAAATATGTTTGAACAGAGCTAAAGGTTGGAAATCAGTGCAGCAAGATTTATAGAATAATGACTTTAGCTAGCTGTATTTTGGCACTTTACATTTGAGAATTTTGACTTAAATAAAATTCAACTTATACTTATTTCTCCCTTTATAGGAAATTAAACGAGAAACTGAACCCAAGGATGACAATTTGCCCATCAAACGGGAAAGGCATGGAAATGTAGCAAGTCTTGTACAGCGGATGAGCACTTACGGACTTCCAGCAGGGGGAATTCAGCCACATCCACAAACCAAAAGCATTAAGAAGAGTATGCAAATAATTCTTTCTCTGCTTAATTATATCAAAATAGATTTTTTTTTTCTTGGTGCTGGTTCTGGGGTGTGAACTTAGGGCCTGGGCACTGCCCCTGAGCTCTTTGGCTCGAGCCTAGTGGTCTACCACTTGAGCCACAGCTCCACTTCTGGCTTTTTTTGGTAATTTATTAGAGATAAGTCTCACAGACTTTCCTGACCAGGGCTGGTTTCGAACTGCAATCCTCAGATCTCATACGTGAGCCATTTTTTATAATAGGAAGCTTATTTATAGTTTTATTTTTTTCCCCACGTACTGGGCTTTGAACCCACAGTCTCACACTTCCCTGGTATTCTACCACTTGATCCACAGGCCCCCTGGGACTATGATTCTCCTCACCTTTTCTTCCTGAATCTCCTCATCTCTACCTCATGGTCACCTGGGATCACAAGCATGAGCCACCATGCCTGACTTTTTCTTCCCCCCTTTTTTTTAAATGACAGAGCTGGCCTTGAACTCGTCCTATTTAGTTCTGCAACTGCAAGGCATGTACCACCACACAGGACCCAGGCTTTGTCTTCAGTTGTTTCGTGTCTGAACAGAGTTTGTGGAACAGGTGTAGCAGTTGTCTTAACATAAGAAGTCTGAGGTGCCCTTCTGTCGTACTCCACTGTTACTGCTGCTGTCTGTCAGTTTGGGGAAATGTTACTGTTTTGTTTCTTCCTAGTTCACTTAGTCTAATTTCAGTCATAAGAAAAGAAACGATTGGTTTGCTTGTTCTTTGTTTTTTAGTTATGTTTGTTAAACTAAAAATTCTGTTAACTTCCCTTGTCCTGCTTTTCTTTTTCTTTGTCAAATTTGACTAGAACTATACTGTGGGTTACAAAAATCTTTTTTTTCTGCCGTTGTTTATCTGTATTTTAGCTTTAATATGTGAAGAACATTTAAGTCTTGAAAACCTTATATGTGGGCTGGGGATGTGGCTTAGTGGTAGAGTGCTTTCGTAGCATGCATGAAGCCCTGGGTTCGATTCCTCAGTACCACATAAACAGAAAAAGCTGGAAGTAGTAATGTAGCTTAAGTGGTAGTACTGCTTACCTTGAGTAAATGAAGCTCAGGGACAGTGCTCAAGTTCTAGCTTGAACAGGGTTCAAGCTCTAGGACTGGCAAAAATAAATAAATACATACATAAATACATAAATAAATAAATGGGAAAAACCTTATAAGAAAAATAACAATTCTCTTTTGTTGCTGCTCTTGGCTTATCTAACATGTTCTCTACTTGTACCCTCTTTTGTGCTGTTTTTGTTTTGTGTATGTTTTGAGGGAGAATCTCACTGATCCCGGCTGATCTTGTCTTTATGATCTTCCTGCTTTGACCTCAAGTATTGGGATTATTTTTAATGTTTTGTTTTTGGCAGTGTTGTGGTTTGAACTTAGGACTTCAAGCTTATGGCAGGTATTCTATCGCTTGTACCAATCCTTACTGTGTTATTTTCCAGAGTCTAACTCTTTTCACTTGGCCCAGGCTAGACTTTGATTCTTCTGTTTATATTTCTTATGTAACTGGGCTGGACATGTACTACCATACCCATCTTATTGATTGAGATGTGGTCTCACTAACTTTTTGTCCAGGTTGGCACTGGACAGTATTTCTTCCTGATTTCATTCTCTCACATTGCTGGGATTATAGACAGGCATGAGCCACTGTGCCTTGTCCTTTTTTTTTGTAATCTTAAGATTAGTAGTATATATTTTGCTTTTGAGTGAAATGTTTAAATAGATTCACTTGCTGGAAGCCTTGTCATTTTTTGTAGTTAATTTTAGGAATGTGCATGCTACAGTGTGGGTCAGGGCAAGCTCTTATTCTCTTATTAATGTGAGTCATATGACTGTGATAAAGGAACCTTCACATCTTTCTCAACCTAAATTTTTATTATTTCCTTTAGAATTGAAGAAACGTCAGTGTAAAGTTCTTTTTGACTACATTCCACAGAATGAGGATGAACTGGAGCTGAAAGTAGGAGATATTATTGATATTAATGATGAGGTAAGGATAACACGTGTTAGCTATAATGTTGCATTTAGGACAAGGTCTAAGTCTTACAAAAGTGCTTGTAAGAATATTACTTTTAGCTGGGTGCCAGTGGCTCATACCTGTAATCCTAGCTGCCTAGGAGGCTGAGATCTGAGGATTGTAGTTCAAAGCCAGCCTGGGCAGGAGCAGCAATGAGACTCTTAGCTCCAATAAACCACCAGAAAACCAGAAGTGGTGCTGTGGCTCAAGTGGTAGAGCACTCACCTTGAGCTGAAGAGTGCAGGGACAGCACCCAGGCCCAGAGTTTAAGCCCCATGACCAACAACAGCAAAAAATTGTCAGAATTTATAGAAATTTGTTTGGCTGTTCTTTACTACTATGTCACTCTACTTCCCAGGATTTCCTTAGGTAAATACCCTAACTATTTAAAAGCTAGATAATAGGCTAATAGTTGGGGTTCCACATACTGGGGTCTAACATATTGATAATACACTGTTGGGATTCCACATATTGATAATAGTCTGTTGATGTTTGTGACCCAGTTTGGTTTTTTACCCCATTACATGTAGTTTGAATCATTGAATCTTTAATATCTTCTAACAGTTTGTATTCTAGCCACTTTATAATCCAACCCTGCTTTCTATGAGTAAATCATTTACTTTTATGTATATTCATTATGTGTATTCATACTTTGTGTATGAATTTTTTTTGGGGGGGGGGCAGTCGTGGGGCCTGAACTCTGGGCCTGGGCGCTGTCCTTCAGCTCTTCAGCTCAAGGCTAGCGCTCTACCACTTGAGCCACAGCGCCACTTCCAGCTTTTTTCTTTTTGCTTATGTGGTGCCAAAGAATTGAACTCAGAGCCTCATGCATGCAAGGCAAGCACACTACCACTGAGCCACCTTCCTAGCCCTGAATTTTTTTTTACCTAGTGTTTAATACTGTCTTCTGTGTAGCATGGTGTTCATAATGCAGTAACACTTTTTTACATCTGTATTGTAATGTCCTGTTCATTGTTTTTTTCATTAGATTGCTTAGATACAGGGATTTCTCTATTCAAGCTAGAATCTTTCCTTAGCCTTCAACAATATGATTTGTACATAGCGCCTTTTACTAAGTTTACTTTGCAATTATGACACGGTAGAAAGCACTAAAAACTGTTGTAAGCAAAATGATATTTCTAGCTATGATTTTGCACATACTCCTACCAAAAGAGTAATTTACTCCTAAAACTTGACTTCATGCTCAGAGCCAGTGGTTTGTGCCTACAACATTAGCTACTCAGAAGGCAGATCGTAGTTTAAACCAGCCTGGGCAGAAAAGTCTGAGAGACTCTTAAATCTCCAATTAACCAGCAAAATGCCAGTCTTGAGGCATGGCTTAAGTTACCAGAGTGGCAGCCGTGATTAAGCAAGCCAAGTGAGAGGTCTGGGTCCTGAATTTATTTTTATTTTTATTTTTGTTTTGGGTCTGGTTGTGGGGCCTGAACTCTGGGCCTGGGCGCTGTCCCTCAACTCAGCACTCTACCACTTGAGCCACAGCGCCACTTCCATTGTTTTTCTTTTTGCTTATGTGGTGCTGAGGAATTGAACCCAGGGCCTTATGCATGCAAGGCAAGCGCCCTACCACTGAGCCACCTTCCCAGCCCCTGGGTCCTGAATTTAAATCCTGGTACTGGCAACAAATGCTTTCATTCAAAACTCCTTAACAGGCACTATACCTTTTAGACAATAATTGCTTTATGAATTAACCTAAAGGAGATTGATTAATCTGATTATAGTGAGTATAAGTAATTTTTGGAAGTTTGATTCATGCTACTACTGTTAGGAAGGAATCATTTTGAGTGTCATTTATATGTATTTTTAAAAACCAGTAAGTTTGTTTTTGTATTTAGTTAAGAATCATTGTTCAAGTAAAAAGTTTTGACATCTAGGAAATTGTATTCATAAGTCAAACCAAAAGTTTTTTTTTTTCATATTTTGCATCTGTGTCTTAATTACTGACAAGTGCCTAGTAGTGGCTACAAGACTGAAATGTAACCTATATACTTTTTGTTGCTTATACATTATTTGATTATGTGGTTAAAAATTATTTTATATCATATGATTGGTTGCAAGTTCTCATTGTAACATGTAAAGTGTTATTAATATGATTAACCTTATGTGTGACCCATTAAATTCATTGAGATCCACTGTAATATACTTCTCCACATGGTGTTTTTTTTTTGAACAATCCTGGGGCTTGAGGGATGGACCTGGGCTCTGTCCTTGACCCTCTTTGTGCTCAAGGCTAGCAGTCTACTACTTGAGCTACAGTCCCACTTCCAGCCTTTTCTGATTAGTTGATTGGAGATAAGAGTCTCAGACTCTCCTGCCCAGACTAGCTTCAAATCCCAATTCTCAACATCTCGACATGACAGGCGTGAGCCAAGAGCACCTGGCTTCTCATTGTTCTCATTGCATTGTTCATTTTATAACTTTTTTTCCCCATAGGGCAAAGATTTTCCCTTAAAAGAAGTGTTTATTATTTTTGAGTTGTGAACTCTTTCAGGTAGAAGAAGGCTGGTGGAGTGGAACCCTGAACAACAAGTTGGGTCTGTTTCCCTCTAACTTTGTGAGAGAGTTGGAAGTCACAGACGAGGGGGAAGCTCATGAAGTCCAGGAGGACCCAGGTACAAGGGACAGTTTTCCTATACAAGTAAAAAGCTTTAGCAGAGGACCTAGTTTTTAGGTTTTAGTTTTTGAAATGGCATTATCTACTTTTGAGCATTCAGTGAAGCTTAAATGATGGTAAAAGTAAACTAAACGGTAGGGTCATAGGACATTTTTCTTTTTCAGATCTCAAGCCTCAGGAAACAATTATTGTAAAAATATTGCTTATGGTAACTGATATATCCATACCTATATTTAAGTGCTCTTTTGAACTACTGAGCTCACAAAGATGGTCTGATACTTAAAGAGATTCAAATTATTTTAGATATTAAATATGTCTATTTTCCATGTTCATATAATAGACTTATTTTTTTTCTGTGCAGTCGAATGCCAACAGGTTTTGATGGAATGTCATTTTCTACCACAATCCCCAAATCTGAAATTTTTTTGTTGTTGTTGGATGAATTTTCTGGAATAATTTTCTTTCTTAGATTATAAGCACCTTTATAATAGTCTTAGCTTATTTTATTTTTCGTCAAAAGATGCAAATTTGATATATTCTAGTCTATTTTGTGTTGCTATAATAAAAATGGTGATATTGAGTATCTTACAAAGGAAGGAGACGAATTAAATGTACATAAAATTGTTACCACTTTCTATGACAGCAAAGACGAGTGCAAGGTGCCCCTTACTCTTACGTACTTTACATATAATCACTTTGATAGCTTTTATTACTTTTATCCTGCCATTAAAAAATAGATATAGTATCATAGAGAGCTTATGGAAAGGTATGTGAATTAGATTTTGTGGTTCTGTGTGGTGTCATTCTTGAAACCCAAATGATTGTTTCAGACTTGGCTTTGCCTGGGTCTGCCTCCCCGTCAGCCGCGTCGGGAAGTGGGAGCGACACTGCGTCGGCACCGGTTACACAGCCCAAAAAAATTCGAGGTATTGGATTTGGTGATATTTTTAAAGAAGGCTCAGTGAAACTTAGAACAAGAACATCCACCGGTGAACCTGAAGAGAGAAAAACAGAAAAGACGGTAATGATGCACTTAATTTAGATGAACTTCCATCCGTTCTCTGATTTAGTTATTATTTTTTTAAGTACTAGGGTTTGAGTGAGGGCCTCGGGTTTGCTGGGCAGGGGCTCTGGCTCTTGAGTCATGCTCCAAGTCTTTTCTACGTTAGTTGTTTTTGGAATAGAATTTTGTTTTTGGTGAGGGGTGGCTTGGTTCAGGATTGGTCTTGAATTGTAAGACCGCAGTCTGTACATGCTAAAGAGCTCAGATTACAGCAGTAAGCCACTGTGTGCTGCTTGGATTCTTTCTTTTTTTAATTGGTTTTTCCCCTGTAGTCCAGTGTGGCCTGGAACGCTAGATCTCTGCCAGTATCCAACTGCTGGAGCTACAGGTGTGCTCCACCTTGCCCAGATCATGAAGCATTTTTTAAAGTATAAATGTCAGGTACTCAGTTAAATTTCTGTTTTTGAATTCAATAATAATTGGTTTATGAAGGAGAAAAAGCTTGTGGGGAAGTTTTCTCTCTAAATTTACAATGATTACTTGAGTGTTTGTGTTTGAATCTTATAAAATTGGGATACTTATTTCTGTTAACTTTAACACGAACTTTCTTTAGGAAAGCTTCAGGTTTTTTAGTTTAGTTATAACAGTATAAAGATGAAGTTATTTTTCTTTTCTTTTTTTTCCCCCTTTTTAAACTAAGATTTGCTTCTCTTTTGAAGTATACCTAAAAGAGGACTTTAAATGATTTCCCAACACAATATTAATGACGGTTAGCTCCCTTCCTCTGGGTTGTTAACAATGACTAAATTTCCTAATCTCTCCTCTGAATGTATGGGCTTCTATTTTAAAGTAAAATGAAGTTTTACTTTTCATTAGCATTTTACTGGCATTTTACATGGATCTAATAAATGAGGCTTTAGTATAAACCCCTGAGGGTTTTTTTGTTTTTTTTTTGGTTCGATCATAGGGCCTGAACTCTGGGCATGGGCGGTGTCCCTGAGCCACCTTCCCAGCCCCATCCTTGAATTTTTGAAACTAAAAGTTTGAAAATAAAAACCTCTTTTTTTTTCCCCCACCAGGGAAAAATTGCTGCCCTTTCCATTTTTGTAAAAGTTTTTTTTTTTGTTGTTGTTGTTCTAGTGTCAGTTGTTCAGAGATTGTATTCACTGTAGGCATTTGCTCTGACTTTAGGGGAATATTTCCCTATATTTGTCATTTGTAGGTCTTGATCTCTTTTGGGGTGGTGGGGTTAAATTTTGGTTCTTGAGCTTACTTGGCAAGCACTCCTATCACTGAGCCACACCAACAGCCCTCACTTTTCTCTGGCTATTTTTAACAGAAGTTCTTTTGCCATGGCTTGTGCCTGGGCATGATCCATCTGTTCTGTTTCTCTACCGTTTAGGTAGGATAACTAGTGTATGCACCATGTCCAGCTCTCCTTCAGGAGTCTTGACTTCCTGCCTAGGTTAGCCTCAAAACTCGATCCTTTTAGTCTCAGACTCCCTAGTAGCTAGGATTATAGATATCAAACACTGGTGTCCAGCTTTAACTTACAAAAGTTCAAAATATTTTAATACTTAGTAACTTTATGTCTTAGATAGTGATCAAATATAAGAAGTTTTTAATGTCTCCCTATCTCATTTTTACGGTTTATTGCTATTAAGTGTTCACTTTCTAGGTCAGACTTCATAGGTTTAGACCTGGGCTCTAAGACTAAATTGCTGCTGTTGTGAACAAATTATATTAACTGCTAATCTGTACAGAGAGAATACGTACTTCGTGTAGGTATTTATGAGTCACTTATTAGATACATGAAATGCTTATGTTTTTAGAAATTCCCAAATTAAACTGCAGTTGTATTATGAACATCAGAATGTTTATTTTTCTCAATGAGTTTTAAAAGTTCATAGCCATAAGTTATCACTTAAGGTCATTTGAACTTTTTATCTCTTTCATTGCTGACTTCAATTCTGTTTCTAACCTGATTGTAAGTATGCTTGGGGCAAACTGTAATGGGAAACTGTATTGCTATTAACTAGGGTCATTTTCTCTCAACTATTAATAGCATCCTTTTCTGTTGTAGCCTTTAATCATACAGCCACAAGGACCCAAAACTCAAAGTGTGGAAATAACAAAAACAGACACCGAAGGTAAAATTAAAGGTAAGGCTGAGTGAAATACACTCCAAATGCATTATTATACGTGTTACATTGTACTGCATATCAGAATATGAAATGCATGCATCGGGCAGGAAAAGATCTTGCCATTCTTTGTTCATTGATGTAACCCTTTCAGATGGAATTGTGCCTTATACATACATTAGACAAATACTTGAATGATTAATTAAATTATTTAACATTGGCTATATGTTTTGAATATTAAAATATAAAGTTATTCATCAAGTTTATATATTGCTTTACACAAAATAGAAGCTTAATAAGTATTTGCTGAGTCAATTTTTATAATCCACTTTACTGTTTTTATTTTAGCTAAAGAATATTGTAGAACATTATTTGCCTATGAAGGTACTAATGAAGATGAACTTACTTTTAAAGAGGGCGAAATAATCCATTTGATCAGTAAGGTAAGGTAACTTTCAGTGACTCATTTAACTTATGAGAGACTTTTCAAAGTTCACACATTATCTCCAGAATGTCATCTCTAGAGGAACTGGGATTTGGTGGTCTTTGATTTGGGTTCTCAGAACCTTACACAGGGCTCCTCACTTCCATATTTGGATTTGAACTCAGGGCCTTGTGCTTTCTATGCAGATGCTGTGTCACTTGCGCTGCTCTGCATGCTTGTTTTGCTTGGCTGTTTTTGAGATAGGATCTTGCTTCATGGTTAGGCTGGCCTGGATATCGGTCTTCCTATTTGTTAATTTCTAAAGCTGATTAGTAAGTAATTTTTATTAGAAAGCATTGAGGAAAAAGATAACTGGAAATTCATATTTTTCTATCCTTTTTCTAACTTTCGTTTTTGGTGGGTTTTTTTTTTTTTTGTTGTTGTTGTTATTTTAGTTTTTTGTGCTGGTCCTGGAGCTTGAACTCAGGCTGGGCACTGTCCCTGAACTTTTAAAAGCTCAAGGTTAGTGCTCTACCACTTGAGCCACAGTTCCACTACCAGTCAGTACTTTTGGTGCTTGGTTGTAGAAAAGAGTCTCAAGGGCTGTCCTGCCTGGGCTGGCTTTAAACCCTTGATCTCAGCCTCCTGAATTGCTGGAATACAGAACAGTGCCCAGCTCCTTTTTCTAATTTTTATCTTTATTTTTTCCTGAGAACTTTTTAGCCTTGTGGATGAAAGTTTAAAATTGATTCAGTAAAAAAAAAGTTGAACTCTTTTTTTTGGGGGGGGTCCGGTTGTGGGGCCTGAATTCTGGGCCTGGGCGCTGTTCCTCAGCTATTCAGCTCAAGGCTAGCACTCTACCGCTTAGCCACAGCGCCACTTCCGGCTTTTTTCTTTTTGCTTATGTGGTGCTGAGGAATTGAATCCAGGGCCTCATGCATGTAAGGCAAGCATTCTACCACTGAGCCACCTTCCCAGCCCTGAACTCATTTTTGTATAACAATTGCTAAAAGTACTATGTGGAGAATATTGTTCTTTATGAGAATCTTATGATCTGTTGATTTTTTTTTTCTTTCATGGGGAGTGAAGCCATTTTATGAGCTCAGGTAGGAGCATTTGGAAAATCAGCAAAGTCAGAAGATGCCAGCCAGCTCTAGTGTCCTGCCCCCAACCTATAGTCTCAAAAACTTTATTATAAAGGCATTTGAATTCTCTTTTTTTTTTTTTGGGGTCCGGTCGTGGGGCCTGAACTCTGGGCCTGGGCGCTATCCCTCAGCTCTTCAGCTCAAGGCTAACACTCTACCACTTGAGCCACAGCGCCACTTCTGGCTTTTTTCTTTATGTGGTGCTGAGGAATCGAACCCAAAGCCTCAGGCATGCAAGGCAAGCGCTCTACCACTGAGCCACCTTCCCAGCCCCTGAATTCGTTATTTTATTGTAAACTTCTGTCCTTAAAAATTAACTGTTATTGCCGGGCACCGATGGCTCATGCCTATATTCCTAGCTACTCAGGAGGCTTGAGGATTATGGTTCAAAGCCAGCCCGAGCAGGAAAGTCCATGAGACTTTTATCTCTAATGAACCACTAGAAAACTGTAAGTGGCACCCAGGCCCAGAGTTCAAGCCCCAGGACCAACAAAAAAAAAGTGAAATAAAATAACTGTTACTGTTTTAATTATTGTTTTTAGGAGACTGGAGAACCTGGCTGGTGGAAGGGAGAACTCAATGGTAAAGAAGGAGTATTCCCAGACAATTTCGCTGTTCAAATAACTGAGCTGGATAAAGACTTTCCAGTAAGCTTTTGTTTCCAGTAGTAACAATGCTTTTTATGTGTTGACATTTTGTTTTGAAGGATAGTTTTTTACATTGCAATTGAGTAGTTTTTACAAAGGAGTTTCTTAAAATTATGTATTTAGGTAAAAGGTATTTGAATTGCAATAAAAGAATATAATAGATAAATGTAGAATGGGAGAGCTGAGTTTATAAAATAGAGGAGAACACAGACAGCAGTGGAAAGTAAGACAGCCATATTTGATTTCCACCAGTGCAGAAGGTCCTAACTGAAGGCTTATAAGAGGAAAACGAAGCTTTTGCTTTCACCTTTTGGAGGTTCTTAAGAAAAGTGAAAGCCAAGTATAGCATTGTTGCTCTTACTGTTGTGTTTTTCAATAACAAGGTGTCTTCTACTTGTTTTGTCACATATACCATCATCTGTCCTCCAGCTGTGCAGTGGGGCAAATTGGTGGTTAGGAATACTGAACCAGGGAGGGAGGCCAGGAGTGAGGATGAACATTTTTCTCATTAAGATACCAGTTGTTAGTTTTTGAGGTATTTGACTAACTTTTGATCAAGGAGGCTGTTTGGAGGTGGGGCTGTAGCTCAAGTGCTAGAGTATTTGTCTAGCAAACACTCTGCAAGGCCTGGGTTCAATCCCAATCATTGTAACAAACAAGCAGTTCTAATGGGATAAAAAAAATTTTAATGATTTTCTGTTGAATTGTTACTATCTTAGCAGTTGGTCATTTTGGCAATAATTAGATGGGGAGAGATACTCATTTAATTTAGGCTACAATCAGAATTGTTTTTTTGTTTTTTTTTGGTCTGGTCGTGGGGCCTGAACTCTGGGCCTGGGTGCTGTCCCTCAGCTCTTCAGCTCAAGGCTAGTGCTCTACCACTTGAGCCACAATGCCACTTCCAGCTTTTTCTGCTTATGTGGTGCTGAGGAATCGAACCCAGGGCCTCAGGCATGCAAGGCAAGCGCTCTACCACTGAGCCACCTTCCCAGCCCCAGAATTGTTTAAAGCAGTCACTTAGTATATAACTTGTCAACGTTTTTGCTGTTTTTCTAAAACAGAAACCAAAGAAACCACCACCTCCTACTAAGGGTCCAGGTATGTAAGAAACACATTATCTACTTTGCTATTTTTCTTAGTTTTAGGTTCTAAACCAGTAAGATTGGGTTTAATGTAAACTATTAAGTTTTTATCAGCAAAAATAATAATGTATATACAAGTTTTTAGAACTATGGCAAAATCATGTTAACATGCATTGCAGTAGTCCATTGTTATTATTTTTAAAAGCATAAATGGTATAAAACAGAATCCTAGCTGAATGTAATAGTGTATGCCTGTATTCCCAGCTCTCAGAAGGCTAAGGCAAGATAGTGAGTTTTAAGGCTAGAATGGGTACATAGCATATTAAAATTAAAATATAAACATTAAAATTGGGATTTTGACAATAGCCAACATCTTAGTTATGTGAAACATTGAATTAATAAAACTGATCAAGCTTAACTTGTTTTAGAAAACTTAATAGATTGACCGATGAGTCTTTCTGCCCACACTACCTTCTTTCTGTTGGGATAGAGCCCTGTGAAGGTTTGAGCCTGTCCTATTGTTGGAGTAATGAGCATATGCTCCCTTGCCCAGCTGTTTTTGGTGAAGGGTCTTGAATTTTTTGCCCCACTGGCCTCAAACCATGAACCCTCCTCAGCTTCCTAAGTAGCTAGGATTACAAATTGTGAGCTGGTGTCCAGCTTATTATTTACGTTTTATAAGGTAATGTCTCTAAGCTTACAGTTTTATTACCTTAGAGTTTTCTTAAAATTACTCTCCCCAGCTCCAAAGCCTGACCTGATGTTTGCTGCAGAGAAGAAGTTTTCTCCCCTAAAGCTTGAAGAAAAAGGTGAGACCGATGTTCTCCCCCATCTTCTCCCAAGCAATTCTTCTTTCCTTGTCATAAAAGGATGTCTGCAGTTAATCATTTGTACCAACTTCTCACAAGTGCCTGTGCTTTTTGAAATGTATAGTTTCCTGGGAGGGAATATTTGGTCAAAATGGAATAGGAAGGAATTAAGCTTTTACTTCAAACTGATAGCAGTTTACATTGTTCAAAAATGTAACCTTTTTTTCCCCAGTAGATTGTATTAGTCATAGTTATTTCAACTAAAGTATAGGAAAACAAGCAGTAAATAACTGATTTATTATATATATATAGTGTCCATTAAAATTTAACTGTTTAAATTTAAATTGGAAGTTTTCCAGCTTGACAGTAACTTTTTAAAAAGGAAAAACCTATGTAGTTTATATTGTTGATAACTTGTTAAATGTTTTTTAATCATCAGATGAAAAATCACTTCTGGATCAGAAACCTATTAAACCAACTGCTCCACAGGTCCCACCCAAAAAGCCAACTCCACCTACCAAAGCCAATAATTTATTGAAATCTCCTGCAGCAGTGTACCCAAAGCGGCCCGAAAAACCGGTTCCTCCACCACCTCCCACAGCCAAGTGAGTTTTACCTAATTCTGAGCTAGGCTGTTGACTTCCTACCTTTGTTCTAGGTAGATGTGTTACCTTTGTAAGTCTATAAGTAATTTTGTTTTTTTGTTTTGCTATAGACTGTAGTCTGTTAAATTTAATCTTGTATTCACAGTAAGCTGCATGCTCTGGAAACTTTTTAGACATTTCTGATGCTATTGTGGTCAGTCTTCTGACTGATAATTATGGAAATCATTTTACAGAACAGGTAGTAGTTAGTGTTACTTTATAAATTTTTTAAATGCCCATAAGTTATAATTTTAAAAAGTTGAATTATATACTCAAATGATTTTTGTATATGTTGTGTGTATTTCAGAATTAACGGAGAAGTTTCTATTTCATCAAAATTTGAAACTGAGCCAGTATCAAAACCAAAGCTGGATTCTGAACAGTTGCCACTTAGACCCAAATCAGTAGACTTTGATTCATTAATAGCACGGAGCTCTAGAGAAACAGGTAAGTCAGGCTGGACAATGGTATTGCATTGAAAGAACTGGTCAGTATAGTGTTTACTGTTTTAAGAGATTTGTAAATATTAATTGTAAAAAGAAATACTGAGATTTTTTTTTCTTTTTTAACTCAGTAACCAAAGTAGAAAAATATAACTTACAGGGCCGAATCTTTATTAGTTAACTGATCAGAGGTTTCTTACTGATCAGAAGACAGAAATGAGTAAGTTTCTATACTGGTCAGGAAACCTATCTTCCAGTGTTTTTGCAATGGGATGACCATACTTCCTAAATCAGACAGATATGAATACATTTTAGTTTTTAAAAGTTTGAAACTAAAGTGAGGTGCTAGCGCTCATGCCTGTCTTCTACCTATTCAGAAGTTGAGGTCCAGTGCATCACAATTCAAAGGCAGCCTGAGCAGAAATGTCTGTGAGATTCCAATTCCAAAATAACCAGCAAAAGCTGAGCTGGAGGCATGGTTTAAGAAGTAAAGTATCAGCCAAGCAAGCTTGACACCCTGAGTTCATATCCCTGTACCAGCGTCAATGCCAGCATTAGTTTATATTTGATAAAATTTTCTGAATTACTTTTCTTTTTCTGAAGATGTTCCCAACACAAGAGATTATATTTTTAATGATTATATATCAACAGGCTAATTTTGCTAATTGTTTTTATTAAGGTTTAGGGATGACCTTTTCTTTTTAGCCTGATCTTGTCTGTACTTGGTTTTTGTTGTGTTCTCTGGGTCATAAAAGTGAACATTTGCAGCAGTGGCCTTCTGAGAAAGCCCTCCTAGTTAGAGGAGCATTACTTTGTGATAGTGATTTTACAGTACTTTGCATTTGCTTAACTTTTTACATTTTTTAAGAGTACTTTTTCATATATGTTCTCATTTTATTTTTATAGTAAATCAAGTAAACATGTTGTTTCCCCTTTTTAAAATCTAAACAGTAAGAAATAGATACATCACATATTCCTAATTGTATAAATCAAGAGTGCTTTAAATAACTTTTTTAGCTTTAGTGCTAACACTTTATATTTCCACTTTAACTTTTTTCCATCTTTTGTCAATGCAAAGAATCTAAAGTATGGTAGTTTTTTAGTCTTTTGATTTAACCTTTTATAAATCCTTTTGTTAGGTCTCTTGTAATGGGTAATATCAGATTCACACTGATTTCTGGGAAGTAAAATGTTGGCAATTCAGAGAAATTCACCAAAATTAGTGTTATTTGGTAGAACTCTATGATTTCAAAAATAATTCTATATTCTTTTGTTAAAGAGATTAGTAAAAAAACAAGGTTTCTTTTTAAATTTAAAATTAGCTAGGAATGTGTTTTTCAGTTTAGTTTGAGCCAAAATTTGCACAATTTTATCTATAGAAAAATTAAAGCTTAAAAGTTTTCATACCTTGAGTCTAGCACAAAAAGTGTTTGTGAGGACCATACCAGCCAGCTCATTCTGGCATGTATATGAATACATGTAGTGTGTGAAGTTTGCAAAAGCTGGGTACTATTGGCTCTTTCTGATGGAGTCCTTTGGGGAATTGAAGAAACAGTATTTAAATTTAGAGTATGTATTTGTAGGTCATTTTGTATCATTCTCGAATAATCGCTTTATGTAGTTTGCTTCAGAGTAAGGAACATTTGAAAGAACTTTATGTAAAATGCACCTCACTTTTTTCCTGTACCATTTCTGCACTCACCAACAAGCTGCCCCTTGCAGTCAACATTGCAGTGGTGGAATCCGTTCCTGGTGGTTGGAAAGTTTTACTTTTTTGGAGAGTCTTGTTTTTCTCCTGTATACACAGTGGCTGTATATGTTTCATATAAATAAAGAGACTTGGTTGACAGAGTTTGAAAACTCACTGTTGGTTTTTCCTTAAATAAGTACAGAATAAGAGATTCTAAGACGTGTACAAGCCAGAAAATTCACAGCTAACTTCCAGATAACTATGTCTTATTTCTTGCACTTACTTTGGCTAACTGGTAAACCACACTTACATACTGTAAAGCTCAGAATATTTTGAAGATGGAGTTAAGTAAATATTTGGTGAGCATGGTGAGCAGCTGCTGTGTCCACAGTAGTATTTTAGACCTAGGTACTATGTTTTATCTCAATTAAAGGAATAGTTGCCAGGAGCAAAATGTATATGTCCCAAACATGATTCAGAGGCATTCCTGTGTCCTTTTTTTCAGTAAATGATTAGCTTATACCTTGTACCAAATGATTATTCTGTATCAGTAGTACCTTTCACTAGTATTTCAGCGTTTGGCAAAAGGGATAGGTAGATGGGTGGTATTGGAGTTTGAACTCAAGGCCTTGAGCTTGTTAGGCGAGTGCTCTACAGCTTGAGCCATGCCTCTCTCCTGTTTGTTTTGGCATGTATGTACGTATGGATGTCTTTATTTTTTTCTCATACGGTATGACTAGCCTCAGGCTGAGACACTCATCTCTCCTCTTCCTGCATAGTTGGGACTTATATACATGCCATGTTCTTTGAAATAGGGTCTTGATAACCTTTGCCCAGGCCAGCCTTGGTGGTCATCTATACGCCTGCCCTCCAGAGGCCTGTGATTAGAGGTGTGAGCCAGAGCAGCCAGCCCAAATTTCAGACTTTCCCCAGTATTGGCATTAATTCAGTGAGCTGTGTTTGAGATAGGATCCAAGATTAAGGATGAGATTTGTTCATGTCATATACTCTACACCCACAGCTTCAAGAGAATTTCATGTAGTACTTTTCATCTGTCCTTATTTTGACTGCCTTAACCCCATTACCTGAGGTCAAGACTCAAGTGTGGAATCAGGCTAGCACTCAAACTATTGGATCATTTTTTTATTTCATATGTGCAGACTAAGAATGTTGTACCTGGGCTGGGAAGGTGGCTCAGTGGTAGAGCGCTTGCCTTGCATGCATGAGGCCCTGGGTTTGATTCCTCAGCACCACATAAGAAAAAAGCCGGAAGTAGCACTGTGGCTCTAGTGGTAGAGTGCTAACCTTGAGCTGAAGAGCTGAGGGACAGCGCCCAGGCCCAGAGTTCAGGCCCCACGACCGGACCCCTCCCTCCTTCCCCCCCAAAAAAGAATGTTCTACCTGTACTTGTAAAGATATTAATTATTCCTTGTTCATGAGCTATATTTGTCACTAAAAAGTACTTTATGTGTGTCAGGTTTAGACACAGTTTATCAGTCGCTAAAAAGCGTGGTATGTGCCTCAGGTTCAGGCATAGTTGATATTTCTGGCTTACTTGAAGTTGCACATTTGTGAAATTAGCCTTTACATTTTAGAAAATAAAAAGTGTATGGAAGTCTTTATTCAGTTCCATTATTAGGTGAAGTAATATTGAGCTGATTTACAGTAAAAAGTACACTGACTGCTGTTAAAAATGGAGGTTTAACAAATAGGTTAGTTTCTTCTCCAGCTCTCTCTTCTGATAATTTGGTTTATCCTACCTACTAGAAAATGGGGCATTGAAGTTCTGATGAGTGTTGTCTCTCTTCCACCCCTCCCTCAAGTTAGATCCATCTCATTCTATTAAATATCTATGAAAGATAGGAATTTGACTTGATGGCTCACGTTTTCTTTTTATCAGCTGCATATACATATTCATATATAAGTGTGAGATAATTATATGTATACACACACAAATTCTGGCTTTTGTACATATGAGCCATCCCTAGAAAATGGTTTCCTGTTTCCGTACAGAAGGCAGGACATAACTAAGTCCCCTATACATAGTCCCATATGGCCTGTAACACAGTGGTGTACTGAAGAGCTACTAAGAACCATGTTTTAATTTTTTTCTCCTTTTCAAACACTTAATCAAAAATGGCCTTTAGGGAAAATGTCACTGGCATTACAGTTACTTATGAAGTTCACATGACCCAATTATTTCTAAGTAGTGAAGTTCCTGAGAAATAAAATTATTTTTGAAATTAATTTGAAAACACTAAACAGAAAATTTAGGATAAACATAGCTATTATATTGAGTAAGCTCAACCAGTTAAGGTACTGCTAGAGAGTAGTATGTTAGTTCCTTTGATTTGATTGGTATTTTTCTTTTATAAATTCTTCTAAGATTCAAAGCAAACTTTAGGGGGGAAAATGGATTATTTGATCCTAAAACAGTCATACTGAACAAGGAAATTCCAATTTTATTTTAAGGTTGGCCTATTTTTGTTCGAATAGCTTTCTCAGTATTTACTCTGGAATTTATGATGATATTTTCCTGATGTTTCCTTTTGAGTAATAGACTTTATTTACTCACTGACTTTGGGCTGGAGCTGGGGCTTGAACTCAGGGACTAGGGACTGTCCCTGAGCCTTTTCACGTTAGGCTAATGCTTTCTGACTTGAGTCACAGGTCTACTTCTAGCTATTTTAGTCTCACAGACTTTCCTCCCCAGGCTGGCTTTGAAGCACAATCCACAGATTTCAGCTCTCCTGAATAGCTAAGATTCCAGGCTTGAGCCACTGGTGCCTGGCTTTGAGTCACATTATAAAAAGTGATCTTGTGTCTGAACCAGGATTCAAAAGTTTTCATAGTAGTTTTCTTAATCGAATTATAGAGTATCATCACATAAGGCATTAATGAATAAACATGCACGAAAGATTTTAAAGATGATATTGAGTTAATTTTTTGTAGTGAGATATATTAAAGTACTATTTGGCAATGTATTTTGTTTTATGATACGTGAGGTAAAAAGTGCTTCTTAATTGTAATTACTGTAGTGTACCAAAGACAAATAGTTGGCTAAAAGGGGATTTAATTTTAGTAACAGCTATAAGATAATAAAATACTGCTGTAAAAGCCGGAAGTGGCGCTGTGGCTCAAGTGGTAGAGTGCTAGCCTTGAGCTGAAGAGCTGAGGGACAGCGCCCAGGCCCAGAGTTCAGGCCCCACGACCGGATCCCCCTCCCCCCAAAAAAGAAAAAAAGAAATAAAATACTGCTGTATAACTTTGGCCTCTTAATGTGCTAAGCTATCCTTTCAGAAATTGTCTTGTTCATTTAGAAATTAATAAAAAGGCTTATTACGTTAGCTTAATCTGTATTGAAATACTAATTTTAAAACTTTTTCTCTTGAAAGACAAAGGAGAAAGTCTGAAATCAAATACATACCTTATATATGTTCGGATAACCTGCAATGACTGTCATATGCTATGCTAAACATTGAAATGCTTCTGTTCATTCTACAACTGTTCCTTTTTCCTGCTTTGTAAAATAATTTTTTTGGTTTAGTCTTTTTTCTAGACATTCCTATCCTTGACTTTTCTTTCCAGATTTTGTTTCCTAGCCTGTTTGCCATGTTTCCCTTCTTACGTGTCAGGAAATTATCCTACCCTTCTCCATTTTGGTAAGATAACAATTTATAAAAGAAATCAAAATAGTATATTTAGTAGATAGGTGGTGCACATTTATTTTTTTTTCTTTGTAATTTTACTCAAAGTGTACATGTTTGTTTGTCAATTCTAATCCTTTTGGTTTTCCATTTTAAAATAAAATTAAAGTAATTTTGGAAAAATGGTCTTGATTTTTAATTTAAAATATTCCTTTAAAAAAGAACTTTAAAGAACATTGACAACTTAAAAAAAAAAAAATCATCTTATTTTCTTCCCAAATTGGCTGTTTCATATGGCTGTTAGAAACTTCCACATCTTTCCAGCAACATGCAGCAGTGTAAGTGGCTGGAAGCGTGACACTGCCAGAGTTGAGGGTTAGACCATTGGCGTCACAGTGAATCCAGAGTGCACACTGTGCGTCTGACTCACGTGATAGTTTTAAGTGGAGAGCCTGAGAGAGTCTGAGAATGGTTCAATTGTCTTTTTGTTGTAGACCAAAATAGGACGTATGGAAGGTATTTCACATGAACATGGATCATTTACCCTTTCAGTTTCATTTCTCTTCATTTCTCTCATGTTTTTTGGTTTGTTTCTTTTTCTTCCTGCATGTTGCTTAAATATGCATTTGAAAATAATCTCTGTAGGCCAAATTGATTGTATTTTACTGTTGGAAGTTTTTCTGGTATGTTGTCAATAAGAATCTATTACTATAAAAGGGTATTTTTTTTACCCTTTAAGCTTAATGTGTTCTTTAACCTGCCTTTTAAGAATATCAATTATTTTCTTGCTAGCTAATTGAATTTTGTTTTAAAAATAAAATATTTTAAATATCAAACCTTTTCAGTTATATAATGCATTTTTTTTTACCGTATAACGATTTCTAACTATAGTTTGTTATTATTGACATTTATAAGACAAAAAATATTGAAACAAGCTTATTAGAGTATTCTGATATATTAGTTTGGTGACTTTGTCCCAGATGGAACATAGAAAGTAGCGTGTGGAAACAGATAGCAATAGTCAACCAGTACTTGCAGTTGTAAACTGCTTATTTCCAAGTAGTAATGCCCCTTTTCTGCCTTACTTGTGTTTTTATCTCTTAGAATTCCATAAAGTCTATAAATTACTTTGAGCATGAAATTTGATGAATAAACTTTGAATGTGATAATGACAACTGTCGTTTTAAAGAAACAAATATCTGAGTGCCTAGGAAACTGATGATGTCCAAAATGAGTACAGTGCTAGCCGATTAGATAAGAATACGTGTTACTGCATAGAACATTGTGGCTGGCTGTGGTTATTTCTAGTTTGGAATCTGGGCTACAGGAAGGTTCTTGTGATCATAGAAAGAAAGATTGCCAAGAGGATTTTTCTATCATACATGAGTACTGGGGCTTCAGAGTTACAGAAACTTCTTAAGTGAGGTTTTCTTGACTCTCTAGAAAAACTCAAGGTAATTACGTAGCACTTGTTTCAAAGTGTGAGTTAACTTAGATTTGTCTAGAATCTAAATTACTGGGCCAAATGTCAGTTAGTCCTTGCTGGTGAGGAATCCAGTTCATGAGCTATGCAGTATTTTTCCTGGTGTCTCTTCAATCAGAGACACAGAGAACTCTAAAGACAAGTTTGAGTCCCAACAGTAACACTGGAAGGACGTATATATGAAGGTACATCATGCCTTTGCTTTGTATAGCTAGTAGAGATGGAAATAGTGCGGTGCTGGATACAGATGGATCTTGAAAATTTGATTGCTAGTCCACTAGTTGACATTTGAAACACATTTTATATGTAAAATTTGTGATGTACTGTGATTAATCAGCATTTAAATAGACTGTATTAATAAGTAAGACCTTTAAGATAATAGCTTTTTATGCTCCAATTTATGATACAGATTTATCTTTCCCTAAGAGCTTTCTGTTGAGGTCTAAATCTGTATTAGAAACAACCATTGTTGTTAATAAAAATATTACACTGTAAAATATACCAGCTAGAGAGCATGCTTGTGGTTTAAAGGGTAAGTGTTTTCAAATGCAATATGCAAAAGCATAGTTCAACTTGGGAGCTTTCAAATTAGTCATGCTCTTTTTAATTTATAGTTTAATAACAAAAAAACACTGCTTTCTAAGAGGTTATCAATAGATAATGTTAATTTGTATTCTCTAGATGTTGTAAATTTTGATGACATACCTTCCTCAGAAAACTTGCTGCATCTCACTGCAAACAGACCGAAGATGCCAGGGAGAAGGCTGCCTGGCCGCTTCAATGGCGGTCATTCGGTGAGTCGTACGTCGTACTTATTACAGGAAAATACAGATGCTTTAGGTGACCCAGAGTCCATTTGTAGATGAGAATGAGGAGGGCTTATCACTGCACCAGAGTTTACAAGTCAGGAAGATAACTGTAGGCCAGGAGACATTCTGGCATTTAAGAAAATACAGAAAAAGAGCTAAGTTTAATTGTGGAATCAAAAGTAAGGATGAGACATAAATAGAGAAATGTAAGACCCATAATCACAGAGCACAGGGCCAACAGGGAATATGGGACTTGTTTAATCTATCTGCGGTTAGAATTACTTACTAGTTGCTCATTTTAAGAAAGACTTTTTCTTTGGCCAGTCCTGGGGCTTGAACTCAGGGCTTGGGCACCGTCCTTAAACCTCTTTTACTCAAGGCCTAGCACCCTGCCACTTGAGCCACTACACCACTCCTGGCCTTTTCTGTGTATGTGGTACTGAGGACAAACCCAGGGCTTATGCATGGTAGGCAAGCACTCTACCACTAAGCCAGCCCTTAAGATTTTTTTCTTAGTGGGATATTTGTTGTTTTTGTACTTGTCCTGGTATCTAAGTAGCTCCTTTAAAAAAAAAGAAAAGTTATTTGCTGCCTGGAATATAGGCCATACTTTAAGTTGATATATTTACTTAAGCACTGTTGTGTCTTTAAATAGCCTGGGTAAATGGTTTTTTAATAATTACTGTAAGGTAGTCTGCTTTTGCACTCAAGATACGTGTAACTATGTAGCATCCAGATAACATCAGTGGCAGAAGTGTATCCAGTGTGAAACTGTATAGCACCCAGCTAACATCAGTGGGATATCAGAAATAGAAATGGCAGAAGTATAAAGTTTATTTTATTACTTAGTTACTACTGTTTTCTTCTTTAATCTGTTCTGTGTCTTGATTCCCCCCCCCCCCCCCCCAAAAAAAATCAGCCAACTCAAAGCCCAGAAAAAACCTTGAAGTTGCCAAAAGAAGAAGATAGTGCCAACTTTAAACCATCTGAGTTTAAAAAGGACACAAGCTATTCCACAAAGGTGAGATGCATTGGGGTCTAAGATTTACATTTTTCATAGAATTCTTTGTGAACATCAGCATTACAGAATTTAAGGTATTCCCTTAAGAAGAATTATTCTCAGAAATAAAGTAATTTCTGCTGTAAACGGATTTGTTAACTGGTCGCATGACTCTTCAAGTGTTTTTAATAGAGCCTGCTATTTTAAATGAGTATTCAGTATTTCATATTTTAAGGCATAAATCTATTAATTTCTCTTTAACTGTTCTTGCTAAGCATATACTCTGCAATTAGGTCACATAAAATAATTTTCACCTAACCACTTATGAGGGATAAGAGGTCAGGAGGTAATTACTTGTTTTGCATTTTATGTAGCTTGGCTCTTACCTTACTTAGAACTAAGTATGTATTGGAATGAGCCAGAATACATGGATCTCTCTGTTATATGGTTTTAATGTCTTTGTTAAACTCGTATCTTTTTTTTATTTTTATATAACTAGCACATCTACTCATGTATATGTGTCTTAATTATTCTTAGTTCCATAGCTTGGTTTATTTGACTACTACAATATATCAAAGATATTTAATCTGATTCTGTAAACTGTCAGCAGACTACTGAAATTTACTAACATGACAGTCAAATTTTAGAAGAATTAGGATATGGACTTAGGATCAATGAGCTTACAAATATTTTTATAATTACTTACATGTGAAGCTCTTTGGACATTCTAAGCCATGTTTTTATTAATAGGAAATCAAGAAAACACCTTAATATTGCTAAGACATTCTTGCTTGTAGATGTTACACTATGAAATCTGTCCATACGTAAATCTGATGGGTTTAAAAAAAAATAAAACTATTAGTGTTTTCCATAATAACCACCAGTGATTGCGAGTTTAGTTGTTTGGTGGTTTTGTCAGGGATGAACTTCAAAATGTCCTTTGAATTTCCATATTTGCCACTTATCTTCCAGATTTGGGTTGACTTTCCATTATTCAAATACTTAGAGTAGAAAGTGTTTGATATTTCATGGTTTTGTTTGTTAATGTTGGGACATTTATCTGTATGAGTTGAAGCATCTTGTGAATGAGACTTGAGAAAGCATGAAATTTGTTTCATGTTTACATGAAACAAATGTAGTATGTTTACATGAAACAAAATGTAGTATGCCTACATTTTGACTACAAACCCATACTTGTGGTCCAGTGTAAAATTTTCAGATTAGGAATGGTTAGTCTGTTTAGATTGTTTTATGTCCTTGTTACAAAATTTTTTTGAACTTAAGTATAAAAAAATATAAATAAAACTAGGAAAAACAATCCTTTTATTATGCTTCCAGCCATCTCCAGCACTTTCAAGTGCATCTAAGGCAACTACAACTGCCTTAGAAATCAAAGCAAAACTAGAAGCAGATGATGGGAATCAGAATTCCTTGGATGAACTTAGAGCCCAGATTATTGAATTGCTGTGTCTTGTGGAGACACTGAAAAGGGATCATGGGTAAGTAGTGCCTGTTTTCTCCTGGGAGTACTGCTTTACACAGACTTCTCAACCTTGGTCCACAAAAGATCTAGTAGTGTGACAAGTCTGTAGGGTCATCAGGGTCTCATTGGAATTGTCAACTGTAGCTCTTTGGGTTTAAAAAGCAACTTGAATAGAAAAACTTACTCTAGTAGCTCAATTTTTTAGAAGAGACACCTTATCTATGTTTATGCTTAGGCCAGAAATACGCATGTGCGCGCACGCGCGCACACACAAACACACACATACGTGTTTAGGCTAAAAATCTGGTCAGACGCAGTGTTTTAATTATGCTTGAAAAGAACAAGTAAACCATATTGTGTTTTAGATATAGCATGTATCTAAAATGTATCAGAGGACTTCAATCCTTGTTTCTGCTGCCAGTAAGTTAATATTTACAAAATGGATGCAATATCCTTCTCAGCTCTGAGTCTATCACTTACCTATGCTGAGTACCAAACCCAGAGCTTTGTTCATGCTAGACAAGTGCTGAACCACTGAGCTACACTCCCAACTTTGAAAATATTTGAAATTTTTGATTTATATATATTTTTCTAGTCCCAGGGTGTTAGTTTGGTCTCATGTTAGCTTAATTTGCTTGTTCATGGCTTGGTTCTCTCCTGTTTGAGCTATGTCTCCAGTTCTACTTTTTACTAGTTAGTTGGATGAGTCTCCAAGAATGAAATTTTTCCAGATTGGCTTTGAATTGCAATTTTCTTGTTTTGGTCGGTCGTGGGACTTGAACTCTGGGCCTGGGCACTGTCCCTGCGCTCTTGAGCTCAAGGCGAGAGCTCTACCTCTTGAGCCACAGCGCCACTTCCATGAATTGCAGTTTTCTTATAGCTGGAATTATAGGCATGAACCACTGTCACTTGGCATTCCACGCCCCCCCCCCCCTCCTTTTTTTTTTTTTTTTTGCCTGCCCTGGGGCTTTAACTCAGCCTGGATACTATCCCTGAACCTCTTTATGTTCAATGCTAGTACTGTTCTATTTGAGCCACAGTGCCACCTCTGGCCTTTTCTAAGTAGTTTATTAGAGATAAGAGTATCATGGACTTTGCTGCTGGCTTCAAACAGCCATCCTCAGATCTCAATCTCCTGAGTAGCTAGGATTATAGGCATGAGCCACCAATGCCCATCCTAGAGCTTGAACTTGTCTCTAAGTCTCTTTGTGCTCAAGGTTAGTGCTCTACCCCTTAAGCGATAATGCTATTTCTGGCTTTTTTTGAGTAGTTCCTTGGAAAGAAGAGTCTCACAGACTTTCCTGCCTTGTCTGGCTTCAAACCATGATCCTCAGATCTCAGCCTCCCGAGTTGCTAGGATTATAGCTGTGAGCCACCAGTGCCTGGCTTTCCTTTGTTTTTTAAATGAAGAAATGTGTTCAGAAAGATAGAAGCTGTTTGCTTTATGATTACACAGTATTTGAATTTCAAACCTGGTTACATTGTAAGCTTAATCCTGAAAAAGCAGGCGAAACATCCGAGAGAAGCTAAGTGGCAGAAGCTGAGAGTGCTCACCCCGTCAGTCAGCTCCCATCGAAGACGGCTGCTTGGAACACAGTACAGAGTTCACTTCCAGGGCCATGTTACCTTGAGCCAGTAATGACCATTTTTCTCTCAATTTTCAGTTGGCCTAGGACTCCTTATGAATAACAATATTGAGATTAGCAATGTAAGGTACCAGTAGTTTGTAGAACAATTTTCAGTATCTCTTAGATGGAGAAAATAACTTATATAGCTTAAAAATACACTTTATAATGTTCATACAATACAGAATTTCTTGGATAGTTTGTTTGGAATTTTAGTTGTTGTGAATTTTAACTCACATTAGAGCTGTGAGTTATTCCTACATAAATACTGAGTACAACATACCAATTCTGATTTTTGGATTTTGTTATTTTTATCCTTTTGATACCAAGTGTACTAGTTTTAATGAAGCACTAATTAAACCCACAGATTTGCTTATAGGTGCTCTTAAATTAGCGATGGAGTGAAAACAATTTTTCTGATTTTATATATTCTTTGAAGTGTATGTTACGCATTTCAGAAGTCTTTATTTTCAGCACTTCAGAGTTCCTCTGGAAAAACTGGAGGGAATTTTTTTTTTAATCCATTAGATAAGAGGATCAGCAGGAAAGTGGGGAGGACCATACTGGCATATTCGTAGAGTGATGTGTGCAGTAAAAGTACATGCTTTGTGGTGGGTATCTGCAGCCGTGGGAATTAATCTAAAAATGAGGGGTGAGAGCAAATTACACATACATAGGTGCATTCGTGCATACATGTGTATACATGCAGTATTTTACTCAGTGAAGTTAAAAGTGAGTAGTAATAAGTGCTATCGAGCATTTCCAGTGAGAGAGAGGAGCAGATGGCCTTGAGAAAATCACTTTGGCAGTCCACAGCGTGTGTGCTGACTGGGAATTCTCCTTTAATTTAAGGATTTAATAGTAATGCTTTGTTTCCAGGAAAGAACTGGAAAAACTACGAAAAGAGTTAGAAGAAGAGAAGACAATGAGGAGTAATCTGGAGGTAATTTACCTCTCCCATTATTGAGATTTTTTTATTTATTTATTTATTTATTTATTTTGGGTCCGGTCCTGGGGCCTGAACTCTGGGCCGGCTTTTTTCTTTTTGCTTATGTGGTGCTGAGGAATCAAACCCAGGGCCTTAGGCATGTAAGGCAAGCGCTCTACCACTGAACCATCTTCCCAGCCCTATTGAGATTTTATTGTTTGGTTTTTTTGTTTTTTGTTTTTTTGTTGTTTTTTTTTTGGGGTCCGGTCGTGGGGCCTGAACTCTGGGCCTGGGCGCTGTCCCTCAGCTCTTCAGCTCAAGGCTAGCGCTCTACCCCTGAGCTCCTTCCCAGCCCCCCATTGAGATTGTAGACAGCATAAACTGCTCATACTCTTTTTCCTGTGCGATTGATTCTACTACAAACTCTGCTGTCCTTTGTCAGATGCTCTCTGTAACATGTGGCAGCTTTATGTCTCCTGTTGACTGCTGCACTCTGTTTATTCATGCATTGTCTCTGCTCACTAAAATTGGGATACACCTTTGGACTAAAGGTAATTGTAATACATCAGGTGGATGATTTAAAGGTATTTTCTTTTGATCCAGGCTAAAGACTGAGGCTTGATCCAAACCAATGCTGCTGTAATAGTTAACTAGTAATAATATAATTTACTTATATAATAAGTATAGTTATGTATAAAGTAATATTGTCTGGAAAGAACCTGAAATGAATAAGCCATTCTTGGATGGTTAGAATTCTTTAGGTGATTGAGCATATGACAATTACAGTGGCACAGTCCTCATCATTTAATAGTGAGCTATCGTTAGGCAACGAAAGCATATGTATCCTTTGTGTAGAAGGAGAAGAAGAAGAGGGAGAGTTGCCCGTCCTGCCGCGAGCCTGGCAGGTCTGCACACACTGCTCCTGCCCTGGCTGCGCGGGGGAAGCCTGCTGTCCAGGCTGAACTCGGAGCCACACAGTGCCCTGGTCTACAGACTTCTCCCCAGCCCACTAGACGCGCTGCACGGGGTCCCTCAGACCCCCTGCCCATATGAAGCTCAGAGGCTGCTGCGCGGGCTCTCCAGCCTTCCTCGACTTCCTCTGTAATAAAAGCACTCTAACAGTCAAAAAAAAAAGGCTTTCAGTATTTCCACATGAAGTGAGGGGCCCAAGATGCTCAGGAATTCAGCTGTGGGCTTTACAGCCTCTGACCTTGTCTTAATTCCCATGTCCCTTCCTACAAAGGAAACATGGACTCGAAGTTTTCTACAGGTACTGTGAAAATTTCTTTCAGAAGTTCTGTAAGGAGTTCACATCTTCTCCTACTTTTCCACACATTGAATCTTCATAGAAAATTAATTTCGCAATACTGTTTACAGATGAGAAACTGAAATCAAATAATTTACTTACATCACATAGTAAAAAATGTAAAACAGTTCTTCAGTCTTACTGTTTACCCAGATCTCTTATTTGATTACACATATGTATATTTCAAATACATTTGTATTCAAAAGGTCCTTTTACTTTTTGGAGGCCTGATTTTCTTGCAGTTCTCATTTCAGAAGCTCACATTAACATTACTGTGGTTGAAAGAATGACATTTAGGAACATCTTCTCCATGACCTTTATTTACCACTTTTTTATGCACCATGGAAGATTACATTTTAATGTTTAAATCCAAGTACAGAGGCTTGAGAGTATGACCATGTTAATGACACACAAATACACCAAGAAGCTTCACAAAAGAAAGGGTATTTTATGTCACCCGCTTTATGTTTACATTTTAGGTGGAAATAGAAAAGCTGAAAAAGGCTGTCCTGTCTTCGTGAGGCAGCAGGGACCCAGAGTTCTTCGTGCTCCAGGAGCCAGAAACAGCCCAGAGCATCTCTCCTGACCTCTTAGTTGTGGTGAAGAAACACAAGTGTATGAACTATAGTATCTCTTGAAAAATTAGGGAGACGGTGAAAGGTTTTCTTTTTATATATATATATATATATTTTGTTTTGCCAATATATAAAAAAAAAAGAGGCCTTATTTCTTACTGCGCTGGGATTGCAAACATTTTGTTGTCGTTTGCCTGAAAATACTACTGAATCTGTATAAAAAGGAAAGTTAACAATAGTTTTTTAAATTGAAATTGTAGTATTATTTTTAAAGAGATCTATACTATAAATATGGTGGTATCTTTACAAGTAACCTGTAAGATAAACGATTTGAGAGGGACAAGTTAGCTTTGTAGTTTCCACAGTCACTACTTCCCCGAGTGTAAAAGACAAATAAGCTTTGTGTATGTACATATATACATATATATAAATATATAAATATATTTTTACTTTTAGCTTCTTACCCAGGATTACACTGTTGTGCCTGTTTGTCTGCAGTGCTGTTTATATTTTGGGTGATGAAATAAGAGTTTCCTAGATAGAAACCAGATTGCTCACCCATGCATTTAGTAATAAATAATAAAAATCATTCAACTTTTAGAGTGGTTATATTGCTTGCACTATAGGACTCATAAGAGGAATTTAATTAAAATGGATTATTAAGCATTTGGGGAAATAGGAGCTTTATTTTAAACTCGTGAGGCCTAAGGAAACTAAAATGTCAGTTCTCAGTTTGTGCCTAGAAACTACAGCACATAGGAAGTACACCAACACCAGCCCTATTGCTGTACCTTTTGGTTTGTTTCACAGACTGAAATACTGCTTATTTTATTATATTGTGATTTTATTCTCCATGCTCCTCCTTCTAATTTTTATGATAATAAATATTAGGAAAAGAAAACCCAAATCTTGTCACAAATTCAAAGTGAGGATTCCTATTCAGACAAGTTACTATAGTGTAAATACTCAGGTTTTCAGTGAATCATGTAATTAACCAGATGGACTCATGGAGATGCTTTGGACTGTTGTTTTGATAAATGAATTTAGAAAAAGTGTTACTATCGCATAAAAATAAAATATTGCAGCTTATTTAAACCAAATCCAGTTGGCCATATTATAGTACATGTTCATAGAATGGATGTTAGCAGTTTTGTCAGTCACATGAACAGTTGAACATTTTAAGTTAGAGATGATTTGTCTGAAAGCACAGATGGGTTTATTTGAAGTTAAAGAAATGAATTTTGTTTGTAAAATTAGGTTTTAAGCTTTACTGTAGCAAATGAGTATAAGATACCGAGTACTGGCTATTAGTTCGTTTATTTGTTTTAAGCAACTAGACCAATATTTTTCCTTTTACATTTTTTAAATCATAAAATAAATATTGACGACACATCTGGGGCTCCTGCCTGTTGTCCTAGCTACTCAGGAAGCTGAGATCTGAGGATCGCGGTTCAAAGCCAGCCTGGGCAGGAACCTCGTGAGACTCTTACCTCCAATTAACCACCAGAAAACCTGGAAATGCAGATCAAGTGGTAGAGATAGCTTTGAGCAAAGCAGCTCAGGGACAGTGCCCAGGCTCTTGACTGAATTTAAGCCTTAGAACCAGCACACAAAACCCAACAACCACAAATTTTGTGAAAATTAAATTTTGTCATGTGTTTTCAGTTAAAGGAGAACTGGAGTAGAGATGCCAGTACAAGGATATAAATGTTTAATTCATAACTTTGGGTGTGTACCTGGTGGCCATTTGAGGTCTTTGGGCTCTTACAATGAGGTCACTACTGAACAGAATTGCTGCCTCCTGTTTCCTCTTTAAATGGATAGTCAAATTATTTCCTCATTAAATAAATTAGATCTTTTAATGATAGTCTTTGGGTAAAGCTGTAAACAGTCTGTCTAGAAATCATCCTCCAGTTTTTCCCAAGGATGGGGGTGGAAAGGTTCCAACAGATTCCAGGCTATTCTCAAAAGTTCTTCGGAGCTGTGTGTGGCTGTGGTAGCTGCGGTCCTGACTCCAGCACTGGAGAGGTTGGAGAGTGGGGCGTGAGTAGCAGTCAGCCTGGGCTCCACGGTGAGGTGACGGGTCCTCAGCACCAGGATCATTGTGAGTACTGAAAGAACAGAAAAGTCAGTGGGGTTCTGTGTGTCCATTCTTCTGACCAACCAAGTAATCTTGAATGTAAAGGGAAAAGAATAATTCCTTTATTTTTTTTTATTTTTATTTTTTTGGGGTCTGGTCGTGGGGCCTGAACTCTGGGCCTGGGCGCTGTCCCTCAGCTCTTCAGCTGAAGGCTAGTGCTCTACCACTTGAGCCACAGCGCCACTTCCGGCTTTTTTCTTTTTGCTTATGTGGTGCTGAGGAATCGAACCCATGGCCTCAGGCATGCAAGGCAAGCGCTCTACCACTGAGCACCTTCCCAGCCCCGAATAATTCCTTTAATATGGTAATTTGCCTGTATTTATTCTTGCTCTTGATCTTCTGCTAATTACTGTTCCTGAAGTTCATATCAGAAAACAATATAATTATGGCTTTTACTTAAGGGTTAACAATTTTTTTTCCTCCATGTGAATACGAGTAACAAGACAAAAGGGGATCAGGATGGAATGAATCTGCCTTGCCAAAATATTGCTGAGTGTGTAATTCAGGTTTGCTTTCCTTTGAACCACGTAATACTACCAATTTCCTCAGTGTATTTCTATTCTTTTCCTCTGTGTGCGTATGTATGTGTGTGCGCATGTGGCGTACACGTGTGACCACTGAGCTGTCATTATCACGTTGTTCCCTAAACTTTACAGAAGTCTGACATGCAAAGAGAGTGGGCCTTGTCTAATAGAAGGCTCGCCTTTATGCTTCTTACTGTGATCCCAGAAGAAGAAAAATCCCAGCGCTGTGCTGTTTCTTGACATTTTATGCTTGCATTTAAACTTGAAATGTCTGAGAATGAGACAATCAGTAAAAATCAGAAATGAGAAGTGTTATAATTTAATGGCCTTGTTTTGCTGTAGCAATAAAATGACCAAGTGCAATGACTTAATAAAATCATCTTTTAAAAGTTGCTGCTATGAATATTTTTAGCTGTAAAATTTTCCTCTTTTGTCCTGACTTGCCTTCAATGAGTATTCTGTAATGCAGGTGATGCAGGTGATGTTCTGATAATCTAACATTCCAGAAAAACCACAACATGTATGAGGAATCTCAGAATAATATGCTCATTTTTTACAGGTGCTCTTAAAAAAATGCTTCTCCCTCAAAAGGAAACATTTATAATAAAAAAAGAATTGTTGCCAGTGTGTCAGTCTTTCTTGGCATTCTTCACTAACTTCAGCATGTTTATTTTGACCATGATGAAAATCATATCACTTTGAATTTTCCAAAGAAATAATGACTTGAAAAGCATTAAAAACCTCAAACCAGCACGACATATATTGCACCTTTTGAGTGTGTTTCTTCACCAGAAACTATTGTGTCTAAGGATTATAGGGACAGTTTAGAAAAATTAGGTAGAAGTGCTTGTAGAGTATATTATCACGAAGTCTGCTTAAAAAGGGAAGTTGGTATTCTACTTTTCAGAAGTGTTTCGTGGTATTGGATGTGATGAACTATTAGATGACCGAGATAAAGAGAAAGGAGGTCTGGTACTCTCCCTCTGTTAGTGACCGCAAATCCCTGTGCGAGAGGCAGACACTCCGTTTCTGTACTGTTGACGTTTAGCCATGACCAGCTTCTCGGTTCTGCCTTCCTAGCCGTCCTGCCTGTTTCCTTTCTGGGAAATCAAACTGGGTAAATCAGAAATGGAGATTTAAAAAATTGGAGACATACCTAATGCCTGCATGAGAACTTACTTTCTGTTACTTGGGAAAAACCTGATTTGAGAGAGCAGCAGATTAGAACGTAAGACGACAGAACCCAGGCCTGGAGAGACTTTGAAGCTGTCTAGTCATCCTGGAGCCTCGCCTTCCTGACTGGGTTCCGGGAGCACAAACTTGCTCCTTTGCTTGTTGGATTTCCGAACTCGGCTCCAAAAGTCCGTACAGAAAAGATAGAATTGGCGATGGCAGGGATTGGGCACTCGGCCCTGGGAACTATTCCCAGCATACATACTGGGGCGAGAAGGCCCCCACGCACTCGTGTAAAGCAGTGTCCCAGGGACAAAGTAAGACTGCCAGAAAGCAGTGGCAAAGCAAGTCATTTAAGTTTCTGTAAAATGTTCATTGTGTGAACTCTGGAACAGAAGCCATGCAGGCTCATATTAATGTGTTTTGAACAGTATAATTTTGATTTTGAGGGGGTGGGCAGTCCTGGGGCTTGGACTCGGCCTGCGTGCTGGCCCTGAGCTCTGCTGACAGCTAGCACTCTTACCACTTGAGCCACGGCTCCCCTTCCTGACTTTTTGGTGACTAATTGGAGATAAAAGAGTGATGGACTTTCTAAGAGTGATGGACTTTCTTGCTGGGGTTGGCTTCCAGTCCAGTCCTTGGATCTCTCTCTTGAGTAGCTAGGATTATAGGTTTTTTGTGCGCTCCTGGCATCTGGCTGTAATTGCAATGTTTATTTAAAGGAACATTGAAGATTGTCTGATGCAGCCTTGTGTAGATGGTTTTGTCTGAAGATGTAATTTTCAGATTCAGTCCTGTTCTCAGAAATAAGCAGGTAGCGATTCTGATCTAATGGGCTCTGACACTTTCCAATTAACATTCAAGAGAGACTAGGACTGTGTGTTGATTCTTTTCTGACTCTTAGCCATGAGGAGTTTTATCATTAGCACCCTTACTGTGAGTGCTGCGTACAAGCAAGAAAAGGATGTTTAGAAATAGATATCAATGTTTTCTGTATAGAGCCAGTAATTTTTTGTGGGGGGGGGTTGATTGTGGGGCTTGAACTCAGGTCCTGGGCACTCCCCTGAACTTAAGTCAAAATTATCACTACTACTTTGAGCCACAGCACCACTTCTGGTTTTCCACTCAATTGGGGAAAAAGAGTCTCACACTTTGCCTACCTGGGCTGGCTTCAAACCTCGATTTTCAGATCCCAGCCTTCTGAGTAGCTCGGATTCCAGGCATGAGCCACCAGGCTTGGCTCAGGAATTTATTTTAAATATAGAAGGTAATAGGGCTCTCATTTTGAAACTGTAAAGTACACACAGAGGAATGATTCTTTAGCAAAGGAAATAATTTGTTAACATATGGTAGAGTATGCTTTTAGAAATATTCCTAAATATTTGAACATTGAAAATCACTTTGACAGAACAGTAATGATTTGTTGTTGCTTGTTTTGTTTTGATGCTGGTCCTGTGGCTTGAACTTAAGGCCTGGGTGCTGTTCCTGGCCATTCTTGATCAAGTCTAGCACTCTGTCACTTGTTGAAGCCACTAAGTGGAAGGACTGTTTTGGTTCTTAACTGCCTGGACTGGCTTCAAACTATGGTCCTCAGAGCTCGGCTTCCTGAGTGGCTAGGATTACAGGTGTGAACCACCACCATCTGGCAATGATGATATTTTAATTGTCAGCCTTTTCCTTGAAACATACTGTAATAGACCAATAAATAGAGTAAAATTTCAAACAGCTGTGATAAAACATTTCCTCAAAT